TATTTCCGTCAACCTCAAAAATTAAACCGACAGCAAGCATGATAGGTCACTGAGCTAATCCAATACCAGTATACCCTTCACCACAAGGCCGGGGTAGTGAACAAAAAGGCCGACCTCCTATCCTGATGGGCAGACCACAACCAAGGGAAAGGAGATAATGATGGGGTCACTATGCTATGACCCAAACATTTTTGAGTAATGATTATACCTATGGAGGAGGAAATCCATGAGCGAATCAACAGCATGACCCGAGATGCCCACAAATGGGACCAAAGGATTGCCCCATCTCTCAACCATGAACAGGGAATAACAAAGGAGGAAGGACTGATCCATTATGATGGATGGATCTACATTCCACAAGACCATTCCCTACATAGGGAAATCATCGCCACATGTCACAACCATGCCACTGCAGGACACCCCAACATTGCCAAAACAAAAGAACTCATTCTATGAAATTATTAGTGGCCCAAATTGGGAAACGATATCATGATATACGTCAAGGCCTGCGAAACATGCCAGTGGGGTAAAAGTTCCACACAAGTACGTGTGACCCTCTTGCATCTGAACGAGGTGCCATCAGTCTCATGGACCCACATCTTGGTTGATATGATCATTGGGTTACCTGACTGTAATGGTTATGATGCGATCCTCATCATAGTTGATCAATTTTCAAAAGCCATCATTCTGATCGCATGTTCCATAGAACTGACCTCAGAAGGCTGGGCCAAAATCTTATGCAACGAAGTATACACCAAATACAGGATGCCCCAAGTAGTGATCTCTGACCGGAGACCCCAATTCGTCTCCAAATTCCTTGACAACCTGTACAACCTACTCAACATCAAGCAAAATGCATCGACAGCCTATCACCCACAAACCGATGGACAGACAGAACGTGCCAACCAGAAGGTTGAAAAATATCTCAGACTATTCATCAACTATCAACAAGACGACTGGGTCGAATGGCTGGCTCTAGCCACCTTCCAACACAACAACCGAGTACATTTGGTGACAGGACAGACACTATTTTTCATCAATCATGGACGACACCCTTATATCTCCCAGACCACACACCACAGACCAACGACGCCCGCCTCCAAAGACTTCGCCACCACCATGGCAAAAATTCACACTGAAACCAAAAACGCTCTTGAAAAAGCCGCATCTGCGATGAAAAGACAGTATGACAAACATCATCGACCAGCTCACACATATAATGTCAATGACAAAGTTTGGTTGGACACAACCAACCTACACCTGCCGCAACCCAAGCAAAAACTCGCCGACAAACGGACAGGTCTATTTCCAATCATTGCAAAAATTGGGTTAAGCGCCTACAAACTACGGCTGCCAGCAGGATGGAAGGTTCATGATGTATTCAATGAGTCACTCCTATCCCCATATGTTGCTCCAGCATTTTCCAACCAGGAATGTCCACCATCTCCACCGCCTGACTTAATCAATGATGAAGAACACTATGAAATCGATCAAGTTTTAAATCACAAACTCTGAAAAATAAAAGCATGCAGTGGTGGAATGACAATGACGGTAGACTACCTCGTCAGCTGGAAAGGATATGGCCCTGAATCTAATCAATGGGTCAATAAAAGACAAATAGCGGCAGACAACATCATACATGAATATGAATTATCCCTAAATTAAGCCATCAGGACAATGGTCTTAAGGAGGGGGTAATGTTATGATTTTTCCCTTTTCTTTCATCTTTTGCTCCTATTTATACTTAGTCAGAAGGCACAAGACCGTGGAAGGGTATAGTCAGCACAACTAAAACCATCTATCAGTTGTCTCAACAATCGAGCCTAATGACACATAAGCACTCCTTTTATGTACGATAACGGTGCTTCAGGACAATGGGCACCATGGACACAGACAGACACAATTAGTAGTCATATTATTAGAAGCATCTGTACAGTACTTAAGACTGACAGCTCTCGCTGGTAAGACCCAGCTTCGAGCTAAAGTTTATATCCATACTATTCTACTCTCAAGCTGTTCTTTGGCCTTGTGACACACTGATCCAAAAGACACACATAAGTGGATTCAGGTGATCTCTTGAAGTGTGAAGGGACATCTGTCTATCACATGTCTCAGATCACATGACACTTAGGCTTAACACAAAGTGGACTGATTACTGTGCCAAGCATAGGATTATGCTAGAACTTACAGCTCCTCACTCCTCAGCACAAAATAAACTTGCTGAGCATGCAATTCAGACAATAATAGAAGACACAAGAGCATTACTTAGCAACTTGAGACTTGCAGACTATTATTAGGCTGAGGCAGCTGCAATATCAATTTTTTCTGGAACCTCACTCCCTCACATTATCACTCTGGCAAGATTTCTGCTGAGGTTTTCACTGGACACTGGCAGAACATGGACTTCTTCCATATCTTTAATTCAACATGCCAGACTTATAAGCCTATGTCTAGTGGTATTTTGATGGACAGTGGGAACAAACTTGACTCATAATCAAAGAAGTGTGTGTTTCTGAGATATACAGGATCAAACTATCATGTTCTCAACCAGTCAGAACACATGTTTGTATCTTATAATGTCATCTTTGATGAGAGTGTTGCTCACTACTTCATGGCTGTGAAGGAGACTGAGTTAGAGGCTACATTCATGCCCTCATCTACTCTGACATCAACTATGACTATGATGACTCATGCATCTGAACCTGTCATACCTGATATCTCTGATGAATCCACTCTATGCTGATTATCAGAGCTGACACACCCAAGCTCCAACTTAACAGAATCATTTATGTCAGCTTAGCATGAGACTAAGGCTTGCTTAAAGGGTGATGATTGGGCCACCAACAACAGACTACCATGTGCATTCATGGCATTATCAGAGGCTAAGCTGGATCTCTATGTCCCCAAGAACTATAGAGATGCATTAAAGGTGAATGAGATGAGATGGAGAGCTGCAATGGATATAGAGTTCAATATGCATCTCCAGAAATACATCTAGGATCTTGAGAATGCAACCAAAGACACTAATATTATGGACTGCAAGTGGGTATATGGAATGAAGTGGAATAGTGATGGTAACTGGCTCCATAACAAGGAAAGACTGATCAGCAAGAGATATATCCAACAATATGGTCTCAATTACAACAACACTTGGGCTGCAGTGACTCAACTCTAAATCTGTGCACATGTCTGCTGCTGTTGCTGCAAAGCTAGACTTACACTTAGGGCAAGCTGACTTTGTCTCTGCATATTTGAACAGCAAAACAAGAGATAATATCTATATATGCCAGCTATCAGGTTACATCATCAAAAGACAAGAAAACAAAGTCTGCAAGTTAGTACATACTATCTATGGAATGATACAGAGTGAGCATGACTGGTACAAGACCTTAGAGAAGATGTACACTGATCTAAGTTATAAAACCTCTCATGCAGACTCATGTGTGCAGACTATCAGTGAATCAGAGAAGAATTATACCATTACTGATATATATACAGATGATGTATGGAATGCATTGTTGAGCAAGGAGGAAGCAAGTCATCAGAAGGGTGAGCTTGAAGAGAAGTGGAACCTTATGGATGTGGGGGAGAACCACTACTTCCTGGGTATGAGAATTGACTAGAACCTCAAGGCCGGTATGATCTCATTCTCACAATGCTCTTACTGGAAGAATATATTCATTGACTTCAACTTCTCATACCTCACTCTATGCTTGATCCTGCTTCCAGTAAGTATTGTTCTTGACTGCTCACAATCACCTAGAACACAAGCAGAATAAGATGAGATGGAGGAACACTCATACCATCATCTTTTAGATCATGTTATGTGGGGACAGCTAGTAATGTGTTCAGACTTTTGTTACCCAGTCAGTGTGCTCACTCATTTTCAAGCAAACTCTGGAATAGCACACTGGAAGGCTCTCTTGCATGTCCTGGGATATAGCAAGGGCACAATAGACTATGGAATCATCTACTTGTGAGACAAATCCCTTGTCCTGGTTGAATATGTTGATGCTGATTATGGTGGATGTCAGAACATGATGTATTTGATGTCTGGCTATGTGTTTATGATGGCCAGAGGTCCTGCCTGCTAGAGCTTGAAGCATCAGGCAATGGTGACACTTTCAATGGTCAAGGCTGAATACATCTCTCTAACTCACACAGCACAGCAGATGATGTGGATGATGTCATGGATGAAGGAAGTCCAACTCCTGCAGCCTTGTCCAGCTCTACTTTATGGGGACAACCAAGATACAGTGGCTCTGACATCAAACATGAAGTCCCACCACAAGGTCAAACACATCAATATTCAGAAGCACTTTATTCATGAGCATGTTCAAGATGGTGACTTGAAAGTTGAGTTTATCTGAGGTGACTCAAACCCAGCAGATATGTTCACCAAGCCATTGGCTCATGATACACACAACTGATACTTGGAGGCTCTCAATATTGTTGCAATGGCATAGTTCAGACATGGGGGAGCATTAGAAGATATCCATATCTTATACCAATATGTTTTACTTTTGATTGTCACTCATTCTTTCTTACCTATTATATCAACCTCCTGTCCTTACAATTACTTATACACTTCACCTGTAGTTACCTGCATACCTCAGTCATTCTACCATCACTGTGTCCGACTGAGGTATGTATATACCATCACAATATCCATAACTATTACTTATGCTCATTCATAGTGAATACTTACATCCTCCCTCTATTATGAGTGCATGTCTCTCTTTCGCTATTCATTAGTTGTTCACCCAAGGGGCCCATTATAACGTGTCTCGGCTAAGATAGGGCGCGTTCTCGTCGATGAACTGGTAGCACCCCTTCCTGCATATACAGTACTTCGAACTTTACCAAGTAGAGTCTGTTCTATTACACAAATACTGGATTAGTCTTGAAACCGTAACATTACTGAATTCAAAAGAATCGTTGTCAACGAGAAGTATTACATCCCAAAATATTTCATTTATGGTGATCCATTTCTCCCATGGCTATCTCTTCATAGCGGCTATCGCAGCGTGATACCAGTAACACAGACTCAGAATCTCCGCTAGGATCTGCAATTTGATAGAGCCCATTTTGTCAGTACGCTACATATCCTGGAATGATATCCAGTTACCTCGATAATTATGGCTGCAATGCGGACAACCACTGGATTCATCTAAGCAACCGAATCAGACAGCTGGTCGTTATTCACACAAGACATTTCCGTACCGCTTTGACCTTTGCAGAAGGTACCAGCGATGAAATTGAATAGGGACCACGCTGCAGAAACCATGGCAAACGTAGCCACAAAAACACTAGATATGGCTGACGCTGTGGATTTTCGGCGGAACACTGGTCGAAGATACGACACGGAGGGAACCCGGACATCAAAAGGTCCGAATTGGAGTGCTTGTTGGTAGTAAAAGTTCAAGAAATCATTTGTGAAGTGTGCTTGCCGACTTGCATTGGCATATGAATTATTCACGACCCACGATGCAATACACCTCGAGATTCCTCCGAGCACAACAGCAGGCTGGCCGGTATCGTCACGGTCGAATGTCATGTTGGAAGGCTTGTAGAGAGGCACCGCCGATATGCTCTCACTGAACACATTTGGTGATGTGAATATCTGATTCGGGCGAATCACACCGAGATCGAGTCGAATGGTGTGATAGATGGCTTGGAATGCATTTTGGACCACAAGCTGAACGTTTGAAGGTACTTCGAGTACGTCGTTTGGTGGTAGGATATTAGCGCCCGGGCCGAACAGCCCTCCACCACCCGTAAAATCTACAGATTTCTATGTCAGTTCTTGGTACCCACTCCGATGTAGTGCCTAACCAAAAAAAGCTCCTTGTCCATAGTACGCGGTTGTCCAAGTTCCCTGGAACTTTGCCACATCGCCGTCACAAGGAGGGTGATCGATCAGGATTGACACTAGCCATGGCTGGCCTGCTACTACCGATTTAATATAAGATTCATAGTACAAACCATTGTCAGCACAATTGCAACAAGGATATACCGAGACATCGAGGCCGGTGACATTCTGATTGCTAGTAGGTCCTGAATCCCCATTGTCATTGACCAGCGTGACACTAGGAGCCATTAATTCAGGAGCATAAAGAACAGAAAGTGAATGAACTTTTCTGAATCCCACCCGCATTCCTAAGAGTATTGCATGAGTTGTGCATGATAGCGTGCAAAATTGTCGTATTTACCGCATCTGTGAGCAAACCATCTAGGTCGGGCACAGCATTCAAAATGTGGAATGTACGATCTTGCATCGATGCATGATTTAGACTTAGAGTCATCCTGTAGTACACAGGGAACCAACAATAGATAACTGCCTATAAGAAAATTTAATTTATTGGTCAGCCAAAATGTGAGTGTGATATAAACGTACAGACAACGAGGCCCGCTCCTCCTTTCGTAACGACAACGAAATATTCGACTAGGAAGGTCAGATAAATGACTATACTAATGCAATGGACTTACAACATCACACGATGATAAGGGATTATTATAATAAGGGAACGAACCCACAGGATAGGTTAACGAGCTATCCGTAAACGCGTCCGTAATCACATAGTTAAAGGCAGAGAGATTACTTTGGATCGTATCGCCGATTTTAAATGTCTGTGGTGTAAAATCCCCGGCTGTGTGTCTAAGGGATGCAGGAACGACGCTGCTGAAGGGAAGTGATGGGGAAGTATCATTTGGAGTGTATGTAAATTCCTGGACAACGTCGTATGCCGATAAAGGAACTAGAAAACGGCGTTCAGAGTCTGTAGTTTCTGGTAGAAACCCCGCTTACTATTGACGAAGACCAACAACATTGTCAATCCCACAAAAAAGATACACACGAGTGGTGTTGTACCTCTCCATGGATAAGCTAAGAAATTGGTTAGTACGCATTAAATGAGGAAGTACGCCTCACGTTTCTGAATATTATAGCCAAGTTGGAAGTTCTTGGCAGCCGAAGTTATTTGACTCCGCCACGACATCGTAGAGAACGAATAAAAGGCAGGTTTAGCACGTTCGGATAACAAATACTTATATATCATCACGTTTGGCTTGGCGTTATGCTGATGGTAATTACCGCCGTAATCCAGACTCGAACCAGCTCTCTCGTAACTCAATGATAACCATCAACCTTCAAAGGGAATAGTTGCAACCGAGTGGACTCGCACAGGTGCGTCGGCAGCCACAGAAGTGCTTGGGGAAGTAGAGACACCACGCTGATGACTGCCCACCAACACGATTAGCGTGGTGTTATGACGATGGTAATTATTGTTGTAATCTCGAACCAGTCCCCCAGCAACTTGATGGCTATCATCGGATTAGTCAACGTTCGACATCTCTGCTCCCTTAAAACAGGAACTGAACTCTCAAAATGTTTTTCTAGTTTGAAACACGCCGCTTACTGATTGATTCCACAAACATTTTGTGACCACCTTTTCCTTTCCTCGCCTTTTTATTCACTATCTCTCTTACGACAGTAACAATTCCTTTTACTTTCGCTACCGTACTCTGCTACATTCATACATGTTGATCTTCACTGTCTGTTCGACCATCTGAGTAGAAGGCGGGCTTTTAAAGCGACAGTTTCGATAAAAGTGGAGGTTAGGATTAAGGGACTGTTTTCTGGATAGCGAAAGGTATGAGTGAGTCGTCATGAATTGTAACAGAAATCTACTCATAATGTGACTACATCAGAGGGCCGTTGATTTCCCGCACAGTAAAAGGAGGTTCTCATTGCTCTGGAAGACTAAAAGGGTCCAGAAATTGCGAGGCGGCGTTTGATGAAGCAGCCTGAGTCACGTCTTCTAGTGGAACCTGTGCGGCACTTGCCGTCTTCTTCTCCTTTCTGGGCCGACCTGCATCCTCTGTACTAGCACAGGTCTCTTGGTCAGCACCCGCCGGACAATTTTCATCATCAGGACTTGCCAATGTGACACGTGCTCATAGACGCCTACGTGTGCGTCTCTCTTTTGCCCTTCATTAGTTGTTCACCCAAGGGTCCCATTATTACGTGTCTCGGCTAAGATAGAGCGCGTTCTCGTCAATGAACTAGTGTCACCCCTTCCTGCATACACAGTACTTCGAACTTTACTAAGTAGAGTCTGTTCTATTACACATCCTGAGACCGTAACATTACTGAATTCAAAAGAATCGTTGTCAACGAGAAGTATTACATCCCAACATAATTCATTTATGGTGATCCATTTCTCCCATGGCTATCTCCTCATGGCGGTTATCGCAGCCTGATACCAGTAACACAGATTCAGGATCTCCGCTGGGACCTGTAATTTGATAGAACCGATTTTGTCAAGACACTGTATATCATGCAATGATATCCAATTACCTCGACAATGGCTACAATGCGGACAACCGCCGGATTCATCTAAGCAACCGAATCAGGCAGTCGGTCGTTATTCACGCAAGACATTTCCGTACCACTTTGTCTCCCGCAGAAGGAACCAGCGATGAAATGGAATAGGGACCACGCCGCAGAGACCATGGCGAACGTAGCCACAAAAACACTAGATATGGCTGACGCTGTAGATTTTCGGCGGAACACTGGTCGAAGATATGATACAGAGGGTACCCTAACATCGAGAGGTCCAAATTGGGATGCATGTTGGTAGTAATAGCTGAAATCACTTGCGGAGCGTCTTACCCGACTTGCATTGGCACATGAATTATTCACGATGAACGATGTATACAGTGAGAGCACAGGAAAAGGGGGGGGAGTACTATTGGGCGTGATGAAAGACTGGAAGAGAGGCACCGCCAATATGCTCTCATTGAACATACTTGATGATGTGAATATCTGATTCGGGCGAATCACACCGAGATCGAGTCGAATGGTGTGATAGATGGCTTGGAATGCATTCTGGAGCACAAGTTGAACGTTTGAAGGTACTTCGAGTTCTTCATTTGGTGGTAGGATATTAGCGCCCGGGCTGGACGGCCCTTCACCATCTATAAAATCTACAAAGATTTCTATGTCAGTTCTTGGTACCCACCCCGATGCGGTGTCTAACCCAAAAAAGCGCCTTGTCCATAGTACACGGCTGCCCAGTCTGCCTTGAACTTTGCCACATCGCCGTCACAAAAAGGGTGGTCAAACATCATCGGCACTTGTGATTGTGTTTCAACGTTTGGTTCTCCGTACCAACCCTCGCCACCGCAAACGCAACAGGGAAATACTGAAATGTCGATGCCGGTGACAGTCTGATTGCTAGTAGGTCCTAAATTCCCATTGTCAGTAGTCAGCGTGACACTAGGAATCATTGGCTTAGGAGCATAAAGAACAAAAGGTAAACGAACTTTTCTGAATCCCACCCGTATTCCTAAGAGTATTGCATGAGCTGTGCATGATAGCGTGCAAAATTGTCACATTTACCGCATCTGTGAGCAAAGCATCTAGGTCGAGCATGGCACTCAGAAACTGGAATGTACGATCTTGCATCGATGCGTGATTTAGACTTAGAGTCATCCTGTAGTACACAGGTAACCAACAAGAGATAACTGCCTATAAGAAAATTTAATTTATTGGTCAGCCAAAATGTGATTGTAACATAAACGTACAGACAACGAGGCCCGCTCCTCCTTTCGTAACGACAACGAAATATTTGACTAGGAGGGTCAGATAAATGACTATACTAATGCAATGGACTTACAACATCACACGATGATAAGGGATTATTATAATAAGGGAACGAGCCAACAGGATCGTATGAGGCGCTATCCTTAAACGCCTCCGTAATCACATAGTTAAAGGCAGAGAGATTGCTTTGAATAGTATCGCCGACTTTGAATGTCTGTGGTGTAAAATCCCCGGCTGTGTGTCTAAGGGATGCAGGAACGACGCTGTTGAAGGGAAGTGATGGGGAAGTATCGTTTGGAGTGTATGTAAATTCCTGGACAACGTCGTATGCCGATAAAGGAACTAGAAAACGGCGTTCAGAGTCTGTAGTTACTGAAAGAAAGTCGGCTTACTGTTGATGAAGACCAGCAGTATTGTCAATCCTACAAAAAAGATACACGCGAATGGTGTTGTACCCCTCCATGGATAAGCTAAGAAATTGGTTAGTACGCATTAAATGAGGAAGTACGCCTCACGTTTCTGAATATTATAGCCAAGTTGGAAGTTCTTGGCAGCCGATGTTATGTGACTCCGCCACGACATCGTAGAGAACGGGTAAAAGGCAGGTTTAGCACGTTCGGATAACAAATACTTATCCTGATGACTACTCACCATCATGATTGGCGTGCTGTTATGCTGATGGTGATTACTGCTGTAATTCAGACTCAAACCAGCCCTTTCGTAACTCAATGCTACTTCAAAGGGAATAGTTGCAATCTAGCGTAACTGCACTGTTGAAGCCTCAACAGCTCTGCTCGCCTGAAACAGCAACTGAATTCTCGAAATGATCGTCTAGATTAAAAGTTTTGGAAGATCTGCTAATGAAAGCGTACACTTGACTGTGAGATATCAATTTAAAACAGACCCAGAGACAACATATAACAATAACAACCCTACGAGAAGGAATGAAAGTCTACATCGTCACGAATCGGAGCAATGCTTGTACATCCTCACATAGTCCCTGCAGACACAGCTTCGGTAAGCGAGATCACAAAACACAGCCGCAAAAGAGGACATACACAGCCATACCCCTATCATCCGGATTCTCAGGCCACGTTGGGTACCACAGCTCCTTCGCACTCGCAAAATCTCGCATAGCGGCTGGTCACAACACCGTCAGTAAGGGAGGTCATATTATTGAACCGAATGCGGTACTCACTCGCAGCACCATTCAACCAAGGCTTATTGCCCTGTCCATCCGGGAACCAACCCCCAGTCGACCCGACCGCAACGTTCATAATCAGATAAAATTCCTGATCAAATGGCGCCGACAAGTATGTCCCGTTGGCCCATGGATTCTCCAGCGGCACTTGCTGCCCGTTAGACGTTATCGCACTCGGGAAATCACCCAGTTGCCAGAAAGATTCTTTGAACTTGAACGACAACAGCGTGTGCGCGCGTGTGTCGACATAGATCCGGATAAACTCGTCTGTCCACTCGAGCACGTACGTGTGCATCTTAGCGCTGAATGATTGCCGGCGAAACGTCCACCAAGAGAAGGTTTTATCCACGGCATTCAATGCGGCAGTGGGACCCCAATTCAGGGAGCCCTGGACGTAGTTTGATCCGCGATTGGTATACCGAATTCCGTTCCCTCGTGACTCGACCATATCTACAAGGTAGCCAGTGAGCTCTGATTTTCTTTGCAATACAGACGAAAGCTGGACTAACCGATCTCACCGCTCTGCGGCCATTCACCATAAACGCTGTCCTTCGGGAGCAACCAGATCGCAGGCCACATCCAGTCTCCAGTGGGCATTTTGGCGCGGACTTCGATTCGGCCGTATCTGATACTTCCTCCACGTGCTCCTCGGGCACTGAGGAGTGTGCTGACACGGGCGCTCTGGACTGGGTTGATAACGGTGCCCGCTGAAGAGTTGGAGGTGGCGCTGCAAGCATGGTAATAACCTGAATAATCGAAAGTCTGTATAGCTCCGGTTAGCTTAGAAAAAAAATCGAAACGAAGGCGGAACTCACTCTAGAGCCTGCAGTTGTTCCGTTGCCTGTGATGAGGTACCCATCATTAGGTTGTGTCACATTAAACGTGCAGTCCGTGAGGTTGTAGACGTATCCGTTGAATACATTGTCCTCGCCAATGACGTCCTCGGTGAGGGTCGGTACAAGGTACAGAATTCCATCCTTGATGTAGGAGTTGTTTGACGAAGAGGTCGTCATTTCGAACTGCCCATTCCTATGGAGGATGAGAGACCGAAAACGATCATAAAGAACGATCGTACCCAGATCCACTGGCATCGACCTCTCTCATAAAGTATCCGTTGGATCCAAAAACATCGTCTTCGGTTCCGTTGAAGTCTTCCTCCATCACGAGGCACAAATCCTGATGGTCAAGCATTACGTTCTTGTACGTGAAATAGCATTGTATCACTCCTGTTGTGGATTCGCATCGGAAGTGGTGCGCTTATGCGGGAAGGAGAGGACCTTGGAAGTCTTGTTCTACCACGCCAGCTATATATAGTGAGTCGGAACAGACATCCAACTATATGCGCGCTATATTTCATGGCAGACGCGTATATGCATGGTAGAACAAGAGTTAACTGCAAGGCTGGTGCGTGGTAGAACGATATCTCAAAAGGCAGGTTCTAGAACGCCATGTGAAGCTGGGAGAAAGGATTGCTTCTCATTCGTTCAGAACTGGCCAGATAGCGTTCTTGACCTAAAAGCGTCCCAGCCCTGCAGTGCGCCAAGGCCTGTTCCTCGCCGAAGCGATGCACCAGCCACCGCAGCCATAATGTCAGTTTAATTCTAAGAAGTTAATGGATGTACTTACCAAGAGCTACTCCGACAAGAATCATTACATATACGAGCCAGTAGGAAACCCTGGCGCGAAAATTGGGATTTTGCACCCATGGCTTGGGTACTTGGAGTTCACGGAGCGTAGCAGGATCGGTAGAATTCGACAGTGAGATTGGTAGCAAGTTTGAGCGCATCCGGGGCTGCACCGGACGTCTCTGTATCAAGGAGGGTTGGACATCACTCTGGCTATCCTCGAAGGGATTCACCACAATGGATGGTGCTACAGAGGACGAGGAGGCCATGGGGTGGTAGAGAGATGGGAGGGCTACTTGTTTAGAAGTGCCTCACGGCCTCATTACCCCTCATCAATGATCTTTAGATATAGAACAGAAAGTTCACTTGAAGGCGATCAAGAACTTTCATGTGGACATAATGGAAAATGTGCCTCGCGGTTCGGTGATATTAAGGCGGTAATTTATGTGCAGAAGGAACTCGACAGCACTTTCTGCACTATCGCCGGACACAGTAAATGTTTCCCAGCGCCGAGATAGCATGTTTGTATTATGTTTCGGCAGTCGAGAAGGCCCAGGGGGGGGAGAAGTGTATTGAAACCGTAGACAACGACGGTGGTATACGGTTTGCGATCCGTCAACGTCGCTGTTGACGAGACCGTAGAGACCCTGATCTGGTCCTGCTGAGAAATTCTGCACGTTTCAATCCATTATTGTTGACATGGTGGGAGCAGAGAGGTCAGGCCAGTGGTTGGTGTCGAGAGTGTCCTGCAGACAGGTACATGGTATGGTGGTCGAAAGTCAAGTTGCCGGCGGCGACATTTCTGCCTCTTACCGCCACCTTGACATGACACTGCAGAGCTTACTCGACGGGCTCGACGCCTTTACCGACTTTTTTTTTGGCAAACATTCGTTGACATCGGAGAACCGCAAGTAACTTAGGATCATGAATGGGGCTCGGCACGTATCAGGGTCAGGAGAGGATGAGTGCGTCCCTTGCAAAGCAATTTGTGCAGATGCTGACAATTGCTCTCCTGGGCTTATTAGGGACTATCTAAGCCTCCAAGCAGGGAGAAGCCGGCAAATCCATGCGTCGACGAACACAAATGAAGATCGCCCTGGGTTATCCTTGGACATTCTCTGGGCACCAATGACTGGCTATATCGTATCATGTACGCATTGCTGGACGCTCGCTCGTCGACTGTGTCTTCCGATTTTGGTTTTGGTCTCCCTATTCAAGGCCCCGACGAGACCGTGAGTGAGGCACCGTGCGGCCAAGCCTTATTACCGTGTATTGAATGTTTTGTATGCTCGATATCATCCTGACGTTACAGTTGATGGATAGATCTGTATGGTGATTGGCCGCCTTGACCCATTCACATGTTCCTGATTCGAAGAGCAATTAGTTTTCAATTATAAGCACACCGCTTGGCACCTCGTGAGAGTCGCGAGACTAGTTCCCCGTTAACGAACATGTCCACCACGGCCAGTCTTCAAACCAGTATACCCAGCTCTGGCATCACCATACTCAATAGTGATTACGACGCGTTCGACGCTCTTTTGCATAATATCTGTAAGACGCTTCAATCTCCAAATGGATCTGAGAGCTAACCATTCCGCAGATGAAAATACACTTCCGAATAATTGGTTTCTCCCTCCATCTGAATCTCAGTTGACTGGTGTCTGTCTTAGAGCAAATTCTTCATCCGCCTCGCACGATTCCTTTGGCGGTACTCCCACAAGCAGCTTCCGTGTTTTTCCCTACGAGAACCCTGCTCTCATACCCTTCGAAGAAAATGTGCGCAGATTGAATCCGGCCGTGGCCGTGAAAATCAAGAGTCCAAGCGTTCACGTCGTGATATCATATACGTCAGTTCCTATTTCGAACGCCTCTCACAAGACCCTAATCTTCCTAATCATAGGCATCCTAACGACACTTCGATCCAAATTGATCACAGTACCCGTATCCAAATTCTCGAAAGTATGGACATGCTCCCTACAGCCGAGAAGGATCAATGTGGAGCATTCATTGTAAGCCATTCTAATTCGACGCGTGCTTGTTCAGTATCTTAACGGGCCTTTAGCGTAGCGATGACTGTGTAATCCTCTGGGCCTATGCTGTAGACTCCATTATCCCTTTGTGCCACGAATTCGAAGAGAAGCTCATCAAATATGTCTGGAGAACAAGGGGCGCACCGAAAAGGGAGACTAATACTCCTTCTCCTCTCGATCCATACCAGTCCATGTCATCTTCAGTTAATCTTCGACCAATTACATCATCCGTAGTGGAAGCGTCCGAGAAGGAAACGTCCACTCAACCGCCGCCGCCGCGGAAGAAGAGTCATTGGTGGTCCTGGAAGCTCTCATCGTCCCCTCCTGCTAATGAAAGCGGTGACATCGAGAAAGCGGGTGGCAGACGCCGCCAGCGCCAACGAAAGAACGTTCTTCTTGGTCCATTTTACGCAGGTTGCGGCGCTGCCATGGCTCTGTGTATGTATTTTACATCTCCGTGTAACCAAACGCTGACCTTCGTAAAGACTTCGTGGGTGCTGGTATCTCCATTCTCTTGGAAGAATATGCTCTAGATGGTGTCACCACTCGGTTCGCTCTTGTTGTCACATTGCCTGTCATCTTCTGTGTATCTTTGGTTAGTGCTTCCCTGCATCTACCTTCATGTCTTTCACTAACGTGATTGACACAGTTCTTCTGCCTTCAGCTTATCGGAAACATCAGTCTTATAATCGGTCCCGTAGCCCAATATCACGAAAACTCCGCCTTCTACTCTGCTGTTCGTCCTGAGCCTAATCCAGAGATTGATAACAATCTGCCACATATTACGATTCAATTACCGGTTTATAAAGAAAGCTTGGAATTGACGATGTGAGCTATCATCTTCGTTCCATCATCAAATTGAGTAATGAAGAATTTTGTGACAGCGCCCCTTCGGTATTCTCCATAAAGAAGGCGATGCAAACGTACGCGAGACAGGGTGGCACCTCCGCGATCTTCATCTGCGACGACGGTCTCCAGCTCATTCCTGAAAAGGACCGTCAAGAACGAATCGACTTCTATGCGAACCACAATATCGGATGGGTTGCGAGACCTCCTCACAGCTCCAAAGAAGGCGGGTTCAAGAGGGCTGGAAAGTTTAAGAAAGCAAGCAAGTGAGTGAACCAGATCTCGTTTGTAAAGTGACATTACTGATTGCGATGCGCGTCCTTTTATTTAGCATGAATTACGGCCTTGCGCTTTCGATCAAGTTGGAAAAGCACCTAGCCGATCTTATCGCTCAAGGAGAGGACCAGTATGACCAGTCGTGGATGCCACTTGAAGACCGGGCGATGCATATGGCTATCGAGGAGATGTACGAGGAGAGTGGCAGGAAGTGGAAACCTTGGGCAAGCAATGGGCAGAGTTTAAGGGTCGGCGAGATTATTTTGATTATCGACGCGGATACTATCGTCCCAGAAGATTGCTTTAGAGATGCGGCTCGTGAAATGGGGGAGAGTGAAGACGTTGCCATCATCCAGCACGAATCAGGTATGACATGGATGAGCTCATTCATATAAGTTTGATGCTGATGCTGCCAAAACGTAGATGTTATGCAAGTGGCGCATCACTATTTCGAAAACGGGATCACGCACTTCACGAGACGGATCAACAAGTGCATCTCTTACGGGTGCGCTAATGGCGAGGTGGCCCCGTTCGTGGGACATAACGCATTCTTGCGGTGGTCGGCGGTTCAAGATGCTTCGTTTGTTGACGAAGCAGATGGGAAGCGCAAGCAATGGTCGGAAGCAAATGTGTCGGAGGACTTCGATCTGGCGTTAAGGCTATTGCTTCGGGGGTATACACTGCGTTGGGCCACGTATTCTAATGGAGGGTTCAAAGAAGGTGTTAGTTTGACAGTCGTGGACGAGTTGGCTCGTTGGTAAGTCGTTTCGCCGTTTTGGGAGTCCAGGTTACTCATGTCGGTCTTGTAGGCAGAAATATGCATATGGTGAGCTGATTATGGGACCTCGGAACGAAGACTCGATGCTGATGGCATCTCTGTAGGATGCGATGAGATTATATTCAATCCTATAGTGCGATGGTGGCGGCAAGGTCCTATCAGCGCTCAGCTGAGAGGGTTCATGTGCTCTAAGGCCCCGATACATTACAAAATTGGAATGTCTTCCTACATGTTTTCATACTGTAAGTTATCCGCAATCACTCGGTTTCGCATGGGTTCCTGACCACCTTTAGATGGGATTGCAGCAGCCACGGTCGGGTCCGTCATGAACTACCTGCTCCTGGGCCTGGCACCGGAACTGGACAAGTTCTATTTGCACAGCTTCGAGATTCTTCTCGCCTGTGTGGTCGTGTTTCCTGCCCTGGGCAACGTGGGTTTCACGCTTTTGGAGTACCGGTTGGGTCACCGCCGGCTGTTCGCTGCCTTGATCGAGAACTTGCGATGGATTCCCTTCTTGTGAGTAAAGAAAAAAAAAGAGGAATGTCGTAATGAAAAAGACTGCGACTGATTGGTTCTACAAAGCTTATTCTTTTTCGGCGGCTTGAGCATTCACCTTTCGACCGCTCTCCTCGCACATATGTTCTCGTATGACATGTACGTGTGGTCCGATTTTCCTCCTCATGGGGGGCCAACTAAACGGCTCGTTAGGACATGGGGCTCTACCGGTAAAGAGGTGGAGAAATCGACGTTCTGGATTGAAGGTACCGTTGTTCCTATGATTTTCCGGCGCCTTTGCCGGTGTTAACCCCTCCCCATATATTAGTCCCTCGTATCTTGAAAGGCTTCTGGCTGTCCTTTGTCATCTGCTTCGCCCTCATCATAATGATGATCGTGTTCGCGAGCAATGCCGTTCCTTACGAATGGCAGATCTGGGGCTACCAGTTTGCGCTGATCATCCCACTGTCGCTTGTCGTGGGCTGTCATATTCTGTTACCGGTGTGTTTTCTATTCCTCCCTTTAATGTGCCTTCCTCCCTCGCTTATCATCACGGTTGCAGATTGTATTAAACCCGTGGTTGATGAAGTTTTCGTACTAGACGAAACGCGAACGCTAGTTTAGGTGGGGCGTTATTTTAAGGACGTTTAGTGCTAGGAACAGTATTATCTGCGGACATTGGGGAGTGTAACATGCACAGGGAAATTAATTAAATCAATCAGAATAGATGGGTAATATTAAGGGAAGCTGTGGTGGTCGGGAGCGATGTATTGATTTCTTGTTAGCGGGAGCAGTGCGATATTATTTAGGGTAGACTGAACCGAGTCGACACTCGAACCCCGGGGACTAACAGACAAGTAGCATGATCCTCATCTCCCCCTGGAATTTTGTAAAACTCCGGTAAATTAATGTTCTTTGAATGCGCGCGAAGTCGAAAGGTCCCAAAAACAACCCGGGTATCAAGCCTAAGACACTGCCATTGGCGATGCGATCGCCCTAGTGTTCGAGGGGAGACGAGCCACCAGGATCAGATCGTGCATGAACCAGAATGGACCAAGGGTAAACGGTCTTCGGTGACTCCTATTGCCCAAGTTCATGCTCCAGGAGCTTGGGGAGTTTCTTTTTTTTTTTATCAAACTGCGAAGCCAGAAAAAAAAAATCTCATGACGTCCCATGCTTTACCTGCGAGGAAATGAAATTACGAGTAAGCGGACTTTGAGGAACTCTCGTAGCGGAAGCTGTTCATGTCGTTCGTGGCGCTGCCTTGAAATTTCTGGAACACTCAGGCGGCGTCAATCAAGTACCCAGACCCCGCAGAGCATGGAACTTGACTGTATTCAAGTAAAAAAGTCTTCTTGCGCAAAACGGAAAAAAAAAACAAAGAAACAAAAGAAACAAATTACAATCGCAACTTGGGCGGTATTAACCAAACGACTGAGACATGATGATCACAACTCGTTCTTCCCCGCATCGCTCTCCTGGAACTTGGCGATCTTCTCATAACCCCCCCCCCCCTTTACTAACATAATTCTGGAATGACTTCGTTTAGGCTTGTCCACTGTCGCTTTTGGGTCTTTGTGGCGTGGGCTGGTCAGTGATGACATGGTGTGCGTTATGTTCGCGTGCAGAGAGGGAGGTAGGTGGGTGGGTGGCGCGCAAAGGGTACCCGCCGTGGTTCTCCTTGGAGCGAGCTATAGTTTCCTCGTCTGGAATGACGTTAGGGATTGAGTAAGTGTTTTTTGCCAAAGAGCATGGCCTGACGCACACAGGGCGAGTCGACCTTGCTCGACCCGTTTACGGTCTTTCCTATCAAGGTACAGGTAGAACGATGTGTATCCCAAAATTAGAGCGCCCATGGCGATGATCGCTTTCTGAAAGGGACGGTCCGTCTGCCTGCTTTTTTTTCTTGCAAGTTGTGGTGACGTACCCGCCCGGTGTGGGGATTGAGGTTGCTGCCTGGTAGCTGCGAGGATTGCGACATGGTGAGCGAGGGAAAAAGGAAGGCTGGTCAAGGTGCGGTTGGGTTCCCACATGTTATAAATGGCGAGACATGCAGCAATCATCTGACACTTTCCTGAAGTGAAGGGAAAGAAGAACGGGGAGAAATCAAGATTTTTTGAATACTGGGTAAAGCGTTGTATCTATCCAGCTGGTGTACTAGGGACCTCAGTAGTATTTCTTTCTCGCTCCCCCTTTTCAATCGCTGCAAACAGACAGAGTGAGACACAACTTGCGCCGATCCCAAAACAACAAAAGCAATACTCACAATCCCTATAACACTGCAGCTCCATTTTCTTCCTCCTCGCCATCGACCGCTTCCCCAGTATGAATGCGCCCAGGGCCAGAGCAGAGACTCCTGCAAAGCCTATCATCTAGTACCGACCGCATCCCTTGAGCTTAAGCAAAGCGTCCCGACAAGACAACCCAACGCACGACACTTCTGGGAGACCTCTTCGGCGATCCAGCCTTTGAAAAAAACTTGAAGATTCCGGTAAGTTCTGGCGACTTGTATATGCGAAAGGGCCTCATAGTATTCTTTGGACCAGAACCATGAGCGCTTTGAGTCACACCTGTGATGTTTTCGGCATTCGGACCGAAGGCCTTTGTGTTACTTGCTACTACTGACTCCTTCGCGATCCGAGTCTGAGGGTTCATCAGCTTCCAACGGAGCTTAGCCAACTATCATACCCGAGATGCGATTTGACCATCCGTTTTTGCTTTTTGCTTTTTTTTTTTCTTCTTCTTTTCTCTTTCTCTTGCGTCGTAAACCCGAAGACCCGTGTCCCGGACCAGGCTCCCTCGCCAAATCTCATCTCGCCTCTATTTGATTCTTTGTGTGGGGAAAAATGATCGATATGCAGCACGCCACCCCACACACAGACGAGATTTTGGCTCCGATAAAGTTATAGAGGGGGCGTCGTGAAAGAGACGGACCCCCACCACCATGACAATCTACAAATATTCATCCTGGCGTTTACCATTCAAGTATTCATTTTGATACCTCGATTTTCATATGTATAAGCCGTACCCCCTCGACGCTGTGGTAGCCTTGGCGACCCTTGAAAAGGGGGGAGCGCTTTATATGATCCGTAAAGTAATGAACTGGCTCACTGCCGTCGGGTGGGAGCCACGACACAAGAGATTGATTGTCATGCAACGTGTATATCATCTCCTGGCATCAAACCTTGACCCTTCGCATAGGTCGTGGCCCTTGCATAACGTTTTCCTTCCCTTTCCTCCCCCTTCCCTTTCATTTGCGGCGTGTTCGCGGCAACTCTTTTTTTTTTTTTTTCATTCAAGTGGGGAGGGGGGGGTGCGGCGGGCGTTTTTACATCACCCCTGACAGAAGTCAGTGCGAGGCGACTAAATAAGAATTTGTTCTGGGGTCTCCTGATGCCTGACAAGAATCTATATCAAGGCAGTGGGCAGTAGTAAGCGCTTGGTAACTCAAAGAGGCGTCCAAAATTCCGGTAAAGGATCGAAGTTGATCAGGCCGACGCGTAGTCGGAACCGCAGCAACAAGTTTGCGAGAATTCCGTACCGTGTATCCGAGAGTTGGGTTCCGCTGCTAATCGGCGCTTACCTAGCACGCGTTGTTGTTGTGCCCCCGACCGACCGATTTCAAGTGCCGAGGAGATGTCTAATAATCACGATCACCTCAGCATATAATAATAATAATATTCGAGCGGGCTGCTTCCGCGGCTTGCCCTGCTGCTTGGGCGTCGTCTGGGGAACCGCTATCTCGGGTCCACCTTGCTCGATTATGTTTCAGACTTGGCTGCGTGGGCGCATGTAGGGGCAGAGCGCTAGCAACGGTGCAATGGAACGTTTGCTGCAACGGTCCCCATTACGAGCAGGCAACGAGGGATCATCAAATCGCGAATGAAATGCAGCGAAAGGCTGTTCGCCCCCTTTGTGTGTGTGTTTTATAATTACACATAGCAAGGTAATAATGACTCGGTGGTGGTGTCGCCGACACGTTCTGTGAAGAGAACGATGGATCCCGTGGGCTGGAAAAGTATTCATTAATGAAGGAAGAGAACGGTTATCTGATCCACCCGAAAAGCGAGGGTGACGCCAAGAATGGTAAAGGAGGGTCATGTGAATCTGAATGGTGTTGCGGATATCGGACCAATCGACTCAGTTTGCTCGCCGGCTCGATTCGCCGCGTCGACACACAACCCACCCATGTTGAGACATATAAAAGGGCCCCCTCCCTCCCTATCAGCTTATTCTGCCAATCTTGTCCCCTCACTCCCCATGGCTAGCATCCATCCTCCCACCACCATCGACGAGTTTACTCGCATCTGGACTGCCAACGTCCACTGGCGGCTGTATGAGCAGTGTGGCGTCTGGGACCCACAGACGAGGGGCGTCCAGGTCTGGGTCTGCATACGCGAACGTGAGTCCACCCGTGCTCGTCAATGGAATCCTGTAACTTATCATGTCCGGCAGACCACTCGACGCAGGGTACAGAGCCACCAAACACTTCCTTCTGGCAGTACCTCGGTCGCGGCTGACGACCCTTTGAATCCAACTCGTCCATAATTTATTCGTTCATCACCCTCCTCTCGGTCTCTCTATCTTACCATCAACGCATGCTTATACGCTGCCTACCAATATCCATGACGGCGGACTCCACCCCCGGGCACACCATCATTATCATCATCATCATCATTACCCGCCCTCCCTCCCCCCGGCGCTGCGAGGTGGTGGCCACACGATGCTAGCTGCTGCTGCTTTTTGGGCGTGAGGATGGATAAATTTGTTTTGGTCTCTTGCAACTTGCTATCATCTACTCTATACCCTGGTGTTGTACTATTTGGAAGCACTACATATACAGTACACCTCCTTACTCTAGTTATCTTTCTTGTGCTATAAATTATAACTCACAATGTTTTTGCTTTTCACAATCTCCGCGCTTTGAGCGACTCGGACGTCATGAGAGGATGTCTTGTGGATGATGTCATTACTGTGTCATACGAATTCCTTCGCGTGAATACATCTGTCACACAAGGTATTCTTCGCACTTGGGAGTGGAGTATTTTTGACATGCCGTGCCAAGTCGACTCTATCGATGGGCGCCATACAATACCGATATCAACGCCAAGTTTACACAACATAATTGGTGTCACTATTGGCACATTACTAGCTAGACGGTTCCAAGAACGCATTCTATCCACGTGCATCTCACATGAAACAGAGCATGATTTTCAGGCAACAGTCCACCTTTCAAGTTCTTTTTTTTTTCCCGAGCAAGGTTCCGAGTCGGGGTCGAATCGTATTGAAAAATTCGTTCATGACCGATGGGGGCGTTCGAGCTACGTCGGCTTCGATCCGAAATCCCGAGTCACCTGTAGTCGAATAAATTATTCCGGCGGTCATGTCTCTGCGGGAAAGCATTATTGATGACGCGGTCGGGGGGAATAATAATGAATATGTACACCGCAGTTAAACTAAAAAACATTTGATGCCTTCCCGGATCGATTCGAGCAGTAATAATAAAAACTCGGATAAAAATTTCACGATGGTCCAGACGCGAATCTAGAACGAGCGAAGAACTGTTACTATGTACTGTAGTGTGGAAGAAGAAGTCCCGAGGCTGAGTGCCGCGGCATCTGCGGGACATCACCCATGTGCCATTTCCGTCGCGTCAAGCTTGTCACGGTATTTTGTTCTTTCTCAATCTCATGGGAAACGACTCCGAGCCGGCTTTTTAGCTTTTAAGCTACGTTTGAATGGGGGCAAAAGGCGGTCACTCGGCTCACCTAATCGGTTTCTTCCGTCCTCCCCTCTGAAGAGAAGAAGTTCTAAATAAACCCCGGGCCCCCTTCTCTTCAGGGTAGAGTGGTGATGTCAGTGGCTTCTTGGTTGTTGTAGACATCCCAAACTCGCCTTTGAGTTTTTACCGACGATGGTGTGATTATATTTTTGGATCTGTGAGCATCCTGACGGAGCTTAGCGTGTTGACTCGTAACGCCTTCATGGTATCAATAACCTACCTCTCTTCGGGTTCACTTTACCCCATATCGATATGGATGTTCTTAATAATGATTATCTTGCATCTGCCTCGGTTCTTTTTGCTGGTATCCTCTTTCATTCTTTTGCCATCGATAATGGGCGATATGAGTTTCCCTTTCATTGCTTTCTTTCTTAGCGCCCGGAATAGAATGGCAACTTAATATGGCGTTTTCTGCAAAGAACGTAGATCATCTGCTCGTTGGTTTCATGCAATCATCCTTGGGGCCATGGTTGACAGGAATTCGTGCTATACATGCAGCCACGATTGCAGGGTTATTGGCTTGGATGCTGTCCCCCATGCTGGAAAGCGCACTATTTTCAATTCATCCATTGTCGACAGTCAGCTTATCACTCCCCGTCACGGTCCACTCCTTGACGTTTCCGCGATACTCATGTCCATTTTTCATGTTCACCGCTCGTACATTTGCACCAGATCTCTCGAGTCGTGCGCTGAATAAATATCGTGGAACAGCTTTCTATGCGGTTGTCTTTAGAATTCTCGGACGGATCTACAGCCTGACGACTTTGTTCAATCTAATCTTACGAGTCAGCGTGATGGGCAATGATTATTCAGAGCATGCGGTTCCAAGCCTGACAAATCAAACGCTGTAGACTTCATGATATGGATACGAATTTGACTGTGCTGCGGTCACTCAGCTCTGAGGTATGCATGTGCAATTTGCACCTCTATATTGACTGGGCCTTGTTAGGGTGAAACTGTTCGATATCCAACACATCAGATACCTAGCGACGGACGATCCCTGTTCTATTCGCACTGTCTAATCCCATAACGGGACGACAAGCCACTCATTATGACCGCCGCTCGACATCCATTCACTCGCATTCGGATCCGGACTTTATTTAATCACGACATAAAGCATCAGTTCTGCCATTCACTTGGAGAACACGGAAATATATCCCGTACTACAGGATAATTTTCGCTGATGTGGATGAAGGTCTTGGACTAAGCGGTGAACGTTCAATACCCGGGTCCAATTGGAGTGGCCCTGACCCCGGATTTTCAGGCGTCCGACATAGTAATCCACCTGTTCGCCTGGTATGCACAGTCCTATATGCAGATATTTTCTAGTTTTCCTTCGACGTCGAGACTTGAGCCTGACCGTGGAAAGTGATATGAGCGCGCTGCACGTCAGGTAATGCATCCACGTGTGGATACGGCGGGTGCAATGTCATTTGTGATCACCGCGACCTTGGCATTCATTACTTACTCGAGTAACCCCGTCTTCTCAGGAACGCAGCCAAGGGTTTTCAGATCTAGGGTTCACCGTCGAATATGTAGGCGTCCCTTTGGGATATAAAGTCGTTCTTTCATCTGGAACTCAAGAAGTTTTCTCCTCCACTGCATTGGGAACTAACTATGACATTGAAACCAGTTCAATCTGATGTGTCTTCAAGGTGCGTCTCTTAGGCCTCTCTATGTGTTCGAATTGGGATCACTTAGAGAAGGAAAGTGTAGGGACCTTCTGCCAATTTCGTGGTTGAACACAATATTGTACACATCCCAGGTCGCTTTGAGTGTTTATTACTTGTATCACTTCACGACGACGAGGTGGCTGCGCTACTGTATCTTGTCTTCTTTGCTCCTCGACGGGGCTTGTTCACTCGTGTCTATGGTTGGCCTTTACCTGGTGTGTCATCTGGGGCTCTCCATATATATCTCATGTTCACATAGCTTCCTGCTAGTTTATGATTAGTTCGTCCTTGCAATAGCTTCGCTTTTACCCACTCATATTCAAACTCGATCAAGATCCAGGTCCACCGCTCATATACACATGGGCCGTCCCGGTTGTAGTCTTGCTCACGTATGCTTCCGCCTTGATTTCGCAGAGTTTTTTCTGTCGTCGGTACTGGATGATGTAGGGTGTCTCTCTCTCTCTCAGGTTTCTCGCATCGCATTCTCAGATTTGCTTAGCTCCAGGAACAAGTGGATCACGGCGTGGATCGTGTTTCTCATTGCAGCTAACGTGAGTCACGCTCTTAGCCTTTACAATGCATGCGTTTTTTTTTTGAAAACAGTGGCTGTAGATGCTCTGCATTCTGGTGGCCACCATCTATCTTACCCTCCATCCTCAAGATTTTGGGCCAAAGGTGCCTTTGATGCTGTGAGATTTACCTACTCTTGATCCAGTTGGTTGCCTTGGCTGACATTAGGATGAGTTCCACTCTGTGTGCGGCGACAGACTTGACGATTGCAAGTTCCTTGGCTTGGACATGTTTGCACATAGAGTCGTCTTATGCATCTACAAGAAAGTGAGCGTTTCAATCTCGACGAACGTGATTCCTTCGTTTACTTTCTACGACGGGATTAGTATACTACGGCGGGTCATGATACAAGCCTTGACTTGCGGTATCACGACGGCCATTTTCACAAGTCTCATGTCCATCTTTATGTTTTCTTTCTGGGATGGTGCGTGTGTTTTATGAGTTACTTACTATCCTCAGTTGTTAATCGCCATGGTGAATAATAGTATTCTGTTCCCTCTTTACTGTGCTCGGACGCATTTACAGCTTAACGGTTCTGATAACCGTTATTCTGCTCAAGGTTCTGAACCGTAGTGACGCATCGTCGAGTAGGATAGATGGTGATTTGGATTGCTCAGAGCCTACGTTCCTGGGTCCGATTTGTAAGCCCGTCGTTAGGCTGCTTTCTGGATAGTTTGATGGAATTGAACTTGTAGCTTCTATGAACACGTTGGATACCGAGACTGGCAAAGGGCAGTCGTCGACTAACGAGGTACGCTAATGTACACACACACTCTTCTGTCGTATATTTTTATTAACTGGATTTTCTTAGAGTGCAACCGTTGACCACTCAACTGAACCTCGATTTGCGAGTATATCAAATGGTCAATCTTTCATTCGTACTGTCTGATATGATAGAGCCAGCTCATCGATAGGAAGGCATCGATCACACGCTCGGGATTCATTTTCACATCATTCATATTGTAGAAACAAATTTGTCGTTAAGTTCATTTAAAAGATGTCATATCGTACGTATTTAAAAGCTTAGGCGTGATATAGAAATACCCCAGTTCGTATGTTTTCGCGATATTGCGGAGGTGCGGTCCGAAAGGCCGATCGCGTCCGGAAAAAATGTGTGGCAGTGCAAAAATTCAGGGATGAAGGCCAACTACAAGGTCGGCTCCATTCATATTTGAACTTCCCGTGCTTACCTGCGTTCTAGTTCTCGAACATCTGCGGAACTGTTTACCGGCAAGGCAATGTTCTATTCACTGCGGACGGCAATTCTTTGTTGAGTCCAGTGGGCAACAGAGTCTCCGTATTCGACCTAGTAAAGTGCGTGCTATGAAGGGACCTCGAACGTTGCTGACTCTTTGATTAGCAACAAGTCCTTCACTCTATCATTCGAAACTCGTAAAAATATCGCCACGATAGCACTAAGTCCCGATGGGAACGTTCTGATATCCGTGGACGAAGGTGTGTGTGTTTTTCCTTGTCAAGTTTGAATGATCCGGTTTGGACTGACCGTCGTAGATGGTCGTGCTCTGCTCGTGAACTTTCGAAAAGGAGTCATTTTGCATCACATCAACTTCCATAAGGCCGTCAAGGATATCAAGTTTTCACCGGATGGAAAGTGAGTCCACGTTGGGACGGGTAAAGAAGAAACTGGTGGCTGACGGAAGAATAAATAGGTTCATTGCCGTCACGCATGGTGCACATATCCAGGTATGGCGGACACCGAACCATCTCGCGAGAGAGTTTGCGCCATTTGCTCTCCACCGAACGTATACGGGACATCACGACAACGTTTTGAGTATCCAGTGGTCGTCGGATTCGAAGTATGTTGCGACTCACGCCGAAATTATCGCGAGAGACTAAATGGGGTGTTACTGTACAGGTGCTTCATCTCGACGTCGCGCGATATGACAGCCCGGCTCTACACTCTGGATCCTGTAGAAGGTTTCCGTTCAAAGACGTTCGCAGGGCACAGGGACGCTGTTTTGGCTGCTTACTTTTCTTCTGATGGACATGCGGTATGCCTTCGTTGATTATCAACGATAGCATAGAAGCTGACTGTTCCATTCAGATATACACAGTCAGCCGTGATGGTGCGGTCTTCACTTGGAAGGCTAAATTACCGGAGGGGTCTGACTCCGACGAAGATCAGCCTATTGCCTCCACCTCGAAAGGCTCTGGACTCCCTGCCAATTCAAATTCTATTATCAATACCCGCTGGGGTATCTTCGAAAGGCACTATTTCAATCAACCAGGGACCAGGGTCGTCTGTACGACCTTCCATGCACCTTCAAATCTTCTCATTGTCGGATTCTCTACCGGTATATTCGGCCTTTGGGAAATGCCTGCGTTTTCCAACATACACACCTTGAGCATATCACAGGAGAAGATCTCCTCTGTAGCTATTAATGCTTCAGGAGAATGGCTCGCTTTTGGTGCAAAGAAGCTTGGGCAACTACTGGTGTGGGAATGGCAATCCGAATCGTACGTCCTGAAACAGCAAGGGCACTATTTCGACATGAACACCCTCTCTTACGCTCCCGATGGTCAAACAATAGCAACAGGCGGCGATGATGGCAAAGTTAAAGTGTGGTCGATACATTCTGGCTTCTGCTTTGTCACCTTCACGGAGCACACTGCTCCCATCTCTGCCATATCGTTTGCAAAACAGGGCAGCGTCCTCTTTTCCGCATCATTCGATGGAACTGTTCGTGCTTTCGATCTCATCCGGTACCGAAATTTCCGTACTTTTACATCTCCATCACCTGTTCAGTTCTCTTCTCTTGCCGTCGATCCTTCGGGAGAAGTTGTAGCAGCTGGTTCGACCGACTCGTTCGAAGTATTCCTATGGTCCGTACAGACAGGAAAGCTCCTGGATATCTTTACTGGCCATGAGGGACCGGTTAGTTCGCTTGACTTTTCCCCCTCGGGGGAGAATCAGCTCGTTAGTGGTTCATGGGATCGTTCGGTGAGAGTTTGGAGCGTGTTTGGGAGGTCTCGCGCCGTGGAACCGTGGTCTGTGTCGTCGGATGTTCTTGCTGTGGCTTTCCGGCCCGATGGCAAGCAAGTTGCGGTTTCGACGCTTGATGGGCAGCTCACCCTGTTCGATGTTCAGGAAGGGAAACAGACGAATGTTATTGAAGGGCGGAAAGACATTTCCGGGGGACGCAAAGCGGATGATCGTACGTCAGCTGCTAATAGCACTTCTGGCAAGGCGTTCAACAGTCTCGCATATACCGCGGACGGCCGATGCATCCTCGCCGGTGGGAACAGCAAGTATGTTGTGCTTTATGATGTTAGGGAGGGCGAAGGGGTCATGGTCAAAAAGTTCCAGATCTCCCAAAATCTATCGCTTGATGGAACGGAGGAATTCTTGGACAGCAGGAGGGTCAATGAGGCCGGGATCAACGTCGATCTAATTGATGACCGAGGGAACGAAAGCGACCTTGAAGACCGGATGGACACTAGCCTCCCTGGGGTAACCCGTGGTGGGGATATGTCAAAACGGCGGTATCGACAAGAGGCTAGAACGAAGTGCGTGAGGTTTTCCCCTGCAGGTCGAACTTGGGCCGCTGCCTCAACCGAAGGTCTCCTTATCTATTCGTTGGACGACACGGTGCTCTTCGATCCATTCGATCTCTCCATGGACTTGACACCTCAGACAGTTCTCGATGTTTTGTCCAAGCGGGAGTTCCTCAAGGCGCTGATTATGGCGTTCCGATTGAGTGAGAAGCCTCTCATCCAGCGTGTCTATGAGAGCATTCCACGTGGGGATATACGCCTTGTTGCGCGACAGGTGCCAGTCATGTATGTTCCTACTTTGTTGCGCTACGTGGCAGAGCATCTTGAGCGGAGTCCTCATTTGGAATTCGACTTGCTCTGGGTGAACGCCCTGTTGATGGCGCATGGACGATACCTTAGGGATCGGTCTGGAGAGTACGCGAGCGTCTTTAGAGTCATTCAAAAACAGCTTGGCGAGTGCGAGCAGGCCATATCTAAGCTGTGAGTTTTCTGGTCTTTATATGACATTGCTTTATTTGTTCATTTGTTATTCAGATGCGAAGAGAACGTGTCAACGCTCTGCTACCTCATCGATCAATCGAAAGCCAAAGAGCTAAACGATGCGAAGATGATAGAAGTATGATGAATGGGGATGGGAATGCTTTTTAGTATGACTATTGTACATCCTGCTCTGTATTTCTGTTATACAGTTCCTTTTTCGTCTTTCGTCTCGTACAGGGTCCACCGCGAATAATTAAGTACTTTGGGAGTGGGGGTTAGGTTGTAAATCGAAGTACTTAAGTCTTCGAAGTGGGTGGTTCGACTACATCAAATCGCCAGTCAGTCCAACATCGCCGCGTTGAACATCAGGACACCAGACATACCGGCTTCTGCCGTTACGGGGTGCCGAAGCTCCATGTCATGGTAGCCCCACCAGTAGAGCAAGCCTGTGAGGCCCATCAAGCCTGCGACGCCCATGACCTGCAGCAATATCAACACAGGCGGCTAGCAAAGAGCACGGAGCAGCATACCACACTGTTGTTCTTGGGCTGGTTCATCATGAACCTCGGCATGTTGGCTCCACCAAAGCCAGTAGTTGCTGCTCGAGAAATTCTTGAGGGAAACATTGCTGTGAGGGGTATTAGTGGGTGGGAACGGTAGGAAGGAATGGTATATATATTTGGGCCATGGGTGATGTCATCTGCCTAGACGAACTCAATGGAATGGCCCCGAAGCTGTGAGACAGTCTATGACCAGGGCACGAGATGTACGAAGGAAACGTCAGGTGGGGGGACCCTAAGTCTGGACACGAAAACGTGCCGCCTGGCCAATGCAGTAATAGGAAGGGCCGACGCGCCTTAAGGGCGGGCGGCGGAAGGTCTGGATCCCAGATAGGATAATATATTTGCCAGTTGCCGACTCCGTGAGAATTTCTCATGAAAAGGGTTGTTTACGTCTATAGGTGTTGGTTGTCTAAGTGTGTGTATATACAATGCATATAATACAGTCATAAAATCTGGAGAAACAGTAACCGGTCATAGGCGAACCACCCAACCGGTGGTCCGATGTGCGTATCGTGCTGTATAAAGTGAACCTAAATTTTCATCTCTTAAGCTCCCGGTACCCAAGACCCTTCGAATCATATATAGCCTTCCCTAATGCAGAACTGCTCATGCCCGCTCTTTCCAAACCTGCTCAAGTCAACTGATTTACACCGCAGATGCACATCTCTGGGTCCGGTAGTAACTGCACAACCAGCATCATCGCAGCACCGTCCGTCGCGATACTGGGATGCCAAGATATCTTCTGCGCAGCTGGTGTCGTGATTGGTTTGTGGCTGTGATTGGTGAGCAGAGGCAGGATGATGGAAGAGCTGGGCTGTGTCAGGACGGAGGTCCCACAGCTCAAGAAGCAAATTTGAGGGGATTTCGGGGTCAACGACGCGCTCCACCAGAGATATAGGAGGAGAAAGGAGCAACTCCTGCAGAATGGGGTTGAACTCTTTAGTTTTTTGTGCAGAAATAATCAACGAACGTACCTTGCTCAACTCTTTGACAGCTAGCGGGGAAGCCCATCCTGAGACGGCTAAGTTCAGGAATATCGCGACGCACAGATATAGATTGTGTGAGGATGGCATGGGGAATGCAGGTAGGCGAAGCGAATATTTCGCTAGAGCTTTTCGAGGGAGGATGGGGGAGACGAGATAAGATGAGACGAGACGAGAAAGTGAGACGAGTTCTCCAACGTTTTATTATGATAGGCCACAACAGAGCTTCGCAAACTACCTAGCCAGTGGACAATGGTCGATTGGTGCAGAAGAAGGGTTCGTGTCTTGATGTGGGGCTTCTTACATTAATACTCAAGGTGCGGAGTGATACAGGGTATAACCTATTTGGAAGCACCAGCGGTAACCTTTCGTAAACGAAGTGCTTATTTACGAGTTGCCACGAAGGACGTCTGTCAAGTGACCAAAAACAGATAGACTAGAAATGAAAGTTGCTGTTCTTTGTGATGTGGCGACTGCTGAAGCGAGTTTCTTCGGGAGCCTCTTCTCCTCTGGCTGGCAGAATGGTGGGAGCGTAATGATTGAGAGATGTCTGGATATTCGCTATATGTTCAAAAGCATGTGGGTCAGACGTACAAGAAGCATGGAAGCGACTTGGGATGCGACATACGCTTACGGGCTTGATATAGTAGTGCGCAAAACAGCTAAACGCTGATGTGGAGACTCGGAGCCGTCCTATAGGGTGCTGGCTGTTCAAACCTTATGACCAAAAATATCAATATGGCTCGGCGAAGAAGCATCATTTGATTATCAGTTAGACCTGGGAGCAGAGGAGAGCATAGAGCAAGAAACATGCCAAAAGTCGTGTCATGGACTAGTACGAACGCGTCCTGAATATGCGGTAAACACCATTTATCGTCATAGAGAGATTTGTTGCTGATGGATAATTCAGTCTACGACACGATCGTTCCCCGCTACCGTGTATATAGTGTAATGCATCTTGCTTTACCGCATTTCTCAAGGAAGGGAAGACCTTGGGGTATTAACATTTATATTCGCGCCTCGGGGAGAAATATATACACAGCTGACGGCATGAATTAGCTCGGTCGAGACTACAGAAGGATACCCACCTATTAGCGTACTCGCCGAACCAATCATAGCTTGCTCTGGGCATTCTTGGAGAGATATTTCGAGTTGACTGCGACGACGTGATAGCCAATGACCGTAGCCATTGCCAGTATCCCCAGAGCGTTCGCCAGCGTATACAATGTCTGATGGGTCATCATTTTATGCTGAAGAATTCTCAGTATTTGTCCCCAACAACAGTAAAGAGACTTACCGAGGTATGGTCGAGGAAGTATGAGAAATACCAAGATGACGTTTGGCCACGTTTGAACGCTATTGTTTGGCTCTATTATGATCCAAAGCCAACCGGGACGGAACGGCGCAATGGGTGCGACCAGCACACTTACTTGACCATCGCCTACCATGAGAGCGACATTTATTCGTTATTCAGAAATGCCTGGGCGTGAGTACATAAAATTCTGGATTTGAAGAATGCTGACCCGAAGATATCTTTTGCAGCCAAGCGGGCATGGGTGAGCATGCCTCGACCAATAAGAACGATCCAAATTCATACTTTTTCTTGGTATAGAGTGCGTGGTGGGGTGACAAGCATGGCGGAACGAGGATGAGGGGTGTTTACCAGTACAGTACGTCACCCTTGGCAAGAATTCATTGGCGCGGACACTCACTCCTTTTTTTCTCGTTTCTTTGTCTATTTCTTTTCGGACATTTTCGACTCTCCTAACAGCCCTTTCGCCCTTCCAAGCAAAGGCAGGTCCAAACTGGGCACGTGAATATTTGTTCCAGGGCTACAGGCGGATAGCCGCAGAGGTTCCCTATTGGATCGTTCCTTTCGCCTTGGGTTCGTCGTTATCTTTTCGTCCTTCTGTTTTTGCTGATGTTAAGAAATTAGGTTACGGGATCTATAGATGGGCAAACAACTACACAGAGTACCACAACAGCAAGGCCGCCCATGTGGCAGAACACCATGAGTGATGGTTGAACTCGAAATACAAGTCCTAACGTGTTACGGATGTTTCCATCTTTTCTCACCCAGTCCAATTTACATTATATCGCCTAGGAACAAGAAGGGATTCGATTAGACGTTTGAAATCAAAAGATGTTCTCCAAATTTATGAAGTTCGCTTGCAGTGCACAGCTGTCTGAGCTGCCCTGCGGAACGTCGATATCTGTGCCAGGTAAACCCACTAATGCTTATCTTACCAGTACAGGGACAACGTCCGGTACTGCGGTTGCAATGGTACCAAAGATATGAGTGAAATAAGGTATCTAGGCGCGCTGCCCAACAATTGTTCACCTTGATGGGGTACAAGAACCTTCCAACAAGTCCGATCCCGGGGGGATGAACAATTGTTCGTACCTTGGACCAGAAAATTTACTGTGCACTCAGGTCCATGATGGTTTCAATTTTGAGTGGAACGCGCCAGCGCTTCCAAATGATGCATGGTACTGGAATCTACCGCCATAGGTACAATAACGACTGTAGCGTGTACAGGGAGAAACAAGATAGCGAGGAGTTTATACAAGACACATCACTCTGCATACACATATATGTGAAGAGAAAATGTTCGGGAACTAAAGATTAAGTCAACAAGGGCCGAAATCAGGGAAGTCTACAAATTGGGCATTCCCTTTGTCCAACTCAACCCACACACAAGACCATCTTCCAGCGTCTAAGGTGAAGTACAACATTCTTTTTTTAACGAGATGCATCATGATTTTGGTATCCTTGCATGCCGAAGAGGTGATAGGTCCTTTCAGACCTTGGTATCTGCTGATGTGTGGTCCCATTCCACGTTGCGCTTCACGGTATCTTGCATTTCATGAGTCTCGACCGTGACAATAACCTAAATCCAACGTCAGGTGCTGTCTGTACAGTGGAAATATAACTTACCCCGGATGCTTGAGTGCGATGTAGCTAAGGGGAAGATATAACAAATCAATTACGAGCACAAACAGGGACAGAGGAGGTTGTCAGCGACTTACTGCAGAGACGCCACCCGAAGACAGGCCATGACCATCGGATCGGTTGCTGAGGTCTCGCCGAATCGCAGTACGCGAGTTCAACGACGAGAGGACCGTATTGGCATAGAGTTTGGGTAAAATGAATGTGAAGGCTAGAGAAAATATTAAGACGCGAAGAAGTCAGAGCCCGTAAAAATACTTGCCGATGTGGTAAGGAGTGGTCTATAATATAACCAGCCGATTGTCAGGAACCGAAGAGGATGAAATATATCAAACGCGAACTTACGACTGTGAAGTACATAATGATATCGATAACGGCAATAACAGCTGTCAGGAGACCTGCCGATTCACAACTGTTAAGCGCCACAAAGGAATCGCCGACATATGAGCGAGCTTCTTACCATTTTGGACGGTCACTGGTAGACAAAGGAATATGAGGTCAACTATACAAAGGCAAGAAGCATAGAATGGACATACTGCGAATGATCCTATCCAAAACCTTGTCACTCGCCTCGAATCGTCCTTTGTGTTGGCGCAAATAGTACGTGAGGGAGAAGGCGATGATAATATCTGCGACGGCCGGCGGCAGAAGCCAGAAAATGACAACCACCTTGGCTTCGGCAAGGTTTTGGAAGGTCTTCAACGTGGCCGCAGCGTTAGTTCCAGCAAGTCCCCCACCTAGAATGTGAAATTGAGCACATAAAAATTGTTAGCGACGTTTTGAACGTACCGACTGCCATGAGGGAGCACAACATGACGAGCCCACTCAACCACCATGTCCCAGAGATTACATGAATTCGCCATGCGTAGTACGCCTGTACCATGGGTCCAATGAGGCCCTAGGATCAATATGTTAGTCACTGTTCAGACAGTGCCAAAATGATATCCGTTCTTACTTCGAATAGAGGATCTAGAGGCAATAACACGCATTCAGAACTGAATGAAAATGTTTCTAGTCACGAGTTACCTGTTATGAGAGCTATAGAAATAATTAGGGACACCACATGAGAACAAAGAGGGAGAATACGAGAGAGAAGACACGTACCCCAGTGGATAAGGCTGTACGGCTCAAAATTGCCCCAGTCGTTGATCAGCAGGTCGTACATCCTGTGTAGTGACTGAGCGGAGAATCACCGCCGAGACAGAGGCCATTTACCACCAAAGGAGAAAGAACGAGCAGAGGAAATCGACCGTGAAAATGGACCCGACATAGATGCGCTGCCAGAGAGGATCGCTGTACCCCCAGAATGTCAGGATATCTGACTGCGACGGCGAGACTTTACCGGACACTCACTCGGGAAACGAACTGAAGTAGTTCCATGTCTGTAAAAGCACGTCAACACTTACTCGTGTTTCAATGTCAGAGACGCATACCTGGACCACGATGATTCCGAACAATACCAAGGATATCCAGATGGCTAACACAGAGATTAGCGGGCGACGCGTTCTAGCACGAGGAAAAGGACGTACCAATCAAGAACACCCCGAAGGGCTGAGGGAGACCTATGAGGGTTTCTGTGGTGGTATCGGCCATGGTGGACACAGAGAGAGGTCAAGGTGGTGGTAGACCTATAAGCTGGGAATAAGATGGGCACGCAGATTAAACGACAGACAACATCAGGAATATGTCGTTAACACCGGTACTTAAGAAGCCCTACAAATGGAAATCCCAAGTTGACAGCTCCAAATGGGGTACCTTGTTTACGGACCCTGACTGAGGCATGAGTGGCCATGATTCTATATTCTGTGATGCTGCTACCTAGTTGCCTAGGGTCATAATTCGTCAGAAATTCTTATCACCGTGACGTCTGAGCTGCTGTAATCATGCTATCCCATAAAGGGGGGCCGTCGATACGCCTCTCGAAAGCAAGAAACTTCGTTTTCAGCGTCGTCGCAGCACTTCGGCGAAGGACAAGGCAATTGCCGATTGTATTGGAAATGTATTTGGCGGTTGTTGTAGGGTGTTGACCAAGAGCTCTGAGGGTACATGTTCTCTGAAATTTGCCTAGATTTCCTGTAACTGTGTGTTTCGGCTGCGAAGAGTCTTCTGATGCCAATGCTGAAATAACGGAACCTATCCCCACTCCTTCTGCTGACCTAGCGCCAGTACAGATAGGATCATGGGAGATAGGATTCCCAGCTACTAATCTGTTGTCGCGGCGAGAACGGAAACTCGTTCATGCCGTGAAAGAACCATTCAGAAGTCGCATGATGCTGTTCTTGCTTCGTCCTTGCTCTTGTTCTTGATGTCGCTACTAGTCTCTAGTGGCTCCTTCTCATTGCCGTTCTCTTGGGTTGCTCCTACCGTAAAGAAGCATAGCCCTGTTGACAATTTGTGCGGCCGAGGGTCTTCCAGGCGTCCAGGGGAAGCTAGCCCTGTCCGCCTCATACTTAGAGGGGATGTCTCTTTCGCAGGGCGGAAAGCATACGAAAAGCTCTAAACCACAACAGGCGGTTTCATTATGTCTCCCAGATCTTTGGTATGTCCCAATTTTAAGCGCTCCACACGACTTATATATTTATCCTTGTTCTCTTTCGCCCAAAGAAAAGATTAAGCGAAATCGTTCCCAGGAATAGGACTCAGCGAAAAGATCTTGCGTCCAACATCATCCCCATCATGAAATACACGACGTCAAGTGTCGGACCGAGTCACCTAATAAACCATTTGTCCGATTGAAGCTTACGAGTCAAATGCAGATGTCTTGAGAAGTCCTGCCAGTTGTTACCGCAATCGTGAACGGAAACACGTGTACGTTCAGAATTCGAAGAATCCACCAGGAGAAACTAAGGGAATACCGCAAAGTCCCTCAAAACTCAGTCCTGACATCAGCATGAATTCCCAATGCCGGTGATGTCCCTGGGTGCATATGGATGATGTTCCACAGGTTCGTTCATATATCCCCTTGTACTCCATGTGTTATGAAATGTTTATCGCAGCGTCTTCCTAGAACCCATATAACACCTCCGTAGATGATTCTATTGGATCCAACTTGGCCTTTACGCCAACCAAGTCTATACCTGCCACCTAACGGATTTATCGATGTCCGCCTCAGTGTCCTTTGACTACGTCGTTGTTGGGGGCGGGACCGCCGGCCTGGTTATTGCCACTCGCTTAGCCGAGGATTCCAACGTCTCTGTCGGCGTCATCGAAGCTGGAGAGGATCAGTCAAGTCGTCCTGATGTTCTCATTCCTGGTACCGTTCTTCCTCCTCCCGACAGCGTATAGCTTCTGACGCGTCTTCTTGAAGGAATGGCGGCTATGCATCTGAGAGGTCCTTCTGATATGGACTGGAAGATGTACACTACTCCCCAGCCTGGCGCAAAAGGGCGTAGCCTCTGGCTCCCCAGGTAAGTTGCAGGGTTCTGATATTTAATTTTTGGGGGTCTGACGCATCGCTTCAGGGGAAAGGTCATCGGTGGATGCGGTACTGTGAGTTAATTATCAGCGTAAATTGCAGGATTGGTCTAGACTGATGTCTTGTCATCAGACAAACATTGTCGCGCTTGGAAAGTAAGTCGCTCCGACTTTTTCGTATAGCGCTTCTGAGCTGGACGAAATTTTAGGGGTAACATTGCAGAGTATGACGGTGAGCTTGAAGAGTGCGACGGTCACAAATCGTATGCTAAGAACGTTAAACCCAGCGTTTGAAACATTGGGCGCGACCGGATGGAATTGGAAAAACTTGATTCCCTATTTCAAGAAGGTACGCTGTCGTCTCGGCGACATTACATCCGTTAATGCTGTCATTCGCTAGTCCGAGACCTTCACAATCACAGAGAAGCAGTCCGCCGAGACTGGGATCAAGTTTAACCCTGAAATCCACGGTTCAAGTGGACCTATTCACAGGACACTCTCCAGGTGGTCTAGCAACATTCTCAAGCCTCTCATTGAGGGATTTGCATCTGTCGGCGTCCCCCTTAACACCGAATACGTGAGTTTTCGTCGTTATCGTACCTTTTGACCCCACGACTAAGTATTTGAAATTTCCTCCTAGTACGATGGTTACAGTGGTGGTGTTTACCCAATGCAACTATCTGTACACCCAGAACATTGTGTCCGTAGTTCGGCGGCTTCTGTGAGATTTATGCTTGGTCACTTATCAATCGCTTTGGTATTGACGGAACGCCACAGGAATATTACGGCCCGAACAAACAGAAGAGTAACTTAACACTGATCACTGGCGCAGAAGCGACACGCATCCTTTTGAAGACCGATGAGGCTTCGGGCGAGATCATCGCTACTGGCATCGAGTACTCAAAGGGCGGGGAACTTCTCACCGTGTCCGCGAACAAGGAGGTCGTCCTGACATTAGGTTCGTATAGTTGCCGCCTTGATTCATTGTCGCACTCAAGATTCGATCAGGTACCATGAAGACACCGCAGTTACTAGAACTGTCGGGCATCGGTGATAAAAAGATCTTAGAAGCCCATAACATTCCGGTTGTGCTGGACCTCCCCGGCGTCGGGAACAACTATCAGGTTAGTGTCATCTCGTACGGTCATGACATGATCTGACCTTTTGCCAGGACCATTATACTTCCGCTTTCATTGCCGAGATTGATCCCAAGTATGAATCGATGGATATAATGATGGACCCACAGCAAGCTGCTTTGGAATTCCAGCTGTAGTGCGTAAATTTTCTGCTCGTCTGCAAAAACTCCGTCATAACCGCGATTTTCTTTAGTCAAGAGAAAAAACAAGGCCGATTGACCTCTAATGGGCCCGGTCTTTACTCATTCATTTCGGCTCAGGCTTACATGTCTGAGGAGGTCGTGGAGGAGATCACAACAAAGGCGGATAAGATGGCCGACGTATCTTCTAACCCGACCTTCAAGGCACAGGCAGAGTGGCTCAAACGTTCCAACATTCCCGACCTGGAGTACGTTTACCTTCCACATGTTTTTTTTTTCGTCTTTCTGACAACATGTGCTACGAACTCCAGATTTGCAACGTTCAATGGATATATGCCAACCGGGACTACAATGCCCGAGCCTGGAAAACACTACGTTTCATGGTTGCTTGCCGCAGCGCATCCTTTCTCTCGTGGCACAGTGCACCTCAATTCTGCGGATCCTCACGCGCCACCCGTGATCGACCCCCACATGTTCGAGGAGGACATCGACGTTCAGATCCTCGCTGAAGGTCTCAAGTTCGCACGCAAACTCATCAAATCGGACGTACTCAGCACGGTCATCAAAGGCGAGATCTCTCCTGGAAAGGACATAAAGTCCGATGAGCAGCTCCAAGACTACGTGCGGAGTACCGGCATGACAGTCTATCATCCTATCGGCACCGCCTCTATGCTCCCTAGAGAGGATGGAGGCGTTGTGGATGCCAATGTCATGGTCTATGGTACCAAGAACTTGCGGGTGGTGAGCATGAAAATTTATAGTCTTCAATTTACAAACTCTTATGGTCGCGACACGCTATTCTTCAGGCCGACGCCTCAATTATTCCTATTCACATTGCCTCTCACCCCCATGCGACTATCTACGCTATGGCGGAGAAGGTCAGTGTTGAATTAAATGTCCGTGATGATCCCAAGCTGATTGAAATCCTTCACAGGCGGCGGACATTATCAAAGCGGCGGCTTAAAACGTTCGACAATGTGGGTTGTAGTAATATATTTTTCTATGTATTTTGTAGATAGCATATGACCAGGTAATTGGTCTGGGATCAATGCTGCAGATGGAACGGAATTAATAATTTTATACCCCCATGCAGTTAGCCATAATGGCCTTACGCTTGGGCTTTTGAGACTCAATACACTGGTGCGACGATCGCGTAGCAACGGGATGATCATTCAGAGCAAGACATCTACAATGAGCTAGACGGGAAGAATAGAAGTCGAAGCAATATAATTTAAGTCGTAACAATAGTCCGGGTGGAGAACTATTACTAGCAAAGTCCAAATCTTGTGTGCTTGTGTATACGTATGGTACCATGTAGATGATGATCTGGGATCACGTCGATCATGAACAGAGATCTATATGCATTAATACAGTATGAATAAAAGAAGAAACTTCTACACCATGGTCGATAGTCTTCATCGAATAAACATGCTATGCAGCAGTGCAAATGCGCATGCGCCAGCACACACCATGAAACCAAGGGGATACCCATTAGGATTCCCCTCAATACTAACAGACCAGAGCTAAGAGACATATCAGCATCTCATTACGGGACGTAGACTAACCGAGTAAAAAAAACGCACATATCCACCCAATACAGGACCCAAACACCGAGCAAGACTGACTATACTCTGCGCTATACCATTGGCGTACCCGACGGCACTCGGTGGCGTCACTAAAACCCATTCATCGGTCAATAAAAAATGGCGTTGACAGCATGATGCGCACTATAATTCAACAGGATAGAGACCGCAGTATACGCAAAGGTGGAACCGCAGAACCGTAGTGCACTAGAAATGCTTCATTAGCCAAAAGGGTAGTTTTTAACTTCGATTTATAACCTACGTGCTTATGGCAAGCCCAGTCATCAGAATGAAGTTGCCGTCATCCTCCTCGCTAGCAAACGGTACACGATAAAGTACGACCGTAAGATAAGATGGGATAAACAGCAAGGAACCAAGTCGGAACATGGCTAGATGGGAGAAACGTCCTCGCGGCGGCCTATGCTTGATATCAGTACCTGGCTGTTTGAATCCAAGACATGAAACCCACCCAATATTTCTAAATGAATGTACAATCAGTCCGAGATTCACTGTAACACAATGGTAACGTACGGATAGAGGTAAAACTGGTATGCAATCTGGCAGAGAGACATCAATGCAACTGTCGGAGACCTGTCAGACTAGAATGGTCGTCGAGGAACTATAGACTCAACTAAGCTGTGCGAAGTGTCCAGCATTGAGATTCAGGCCTCCAGAATCATAATCGCTATCCGAATAGTAAGTTAAGACGTTGCTCCTTAATTTATCTATCTGACGACTCACGTTACAAGATACGACATGAAGACCTGATCGTGTGTCGTAGAATGAAGTGCCAGCAGACCATACTGCACTATAATCATAACGGGCAATTGAGACGACAATGAAGCCGGTCTCTCTGCCAGGGACTCCAGATCGACTTGGTCATTTATCTGCGAAGTCCTCCTCGATTCCGCGATAGGCGCGAGGGAATCAGCACCAGTGACCTCGGCCGCTGGAGTAAGTAGTTGTTGTGCATCCAGAACAGCAGCCGGAGGCTTAACACCAGAATGAGAGAATATGGAAGGAGCATTGGAGAATCGACGGGATATGTGTGTACCTTCTAATGGCTGAGAAAACGAAGCCTGGCGTTGAGGAATAGGCCAAGGGCTGGAAGGAAGGCGAGGCGAACCAAGACGAAGGGATCTGATAGTCCCGCGTGTATTAGAAGAACGACGTGCAATGGGTGTCGCATTGGAAGCTCGACGACTGGGGCGCGTCGGCGTCGAGATAACAGATGCAGATATGGAATCGTCATCGACAGGAACATGCTCCACGTTTTCTTCCACATCCAAAGCCTCCTCACCGGAATCATCATCAGATCCCATCTCAGTATCACTTTCGAACGGATCCTCGTTGTCGACATTCATTGCAGCAGCGACCCACAGATCCGCGATGTTAGTAACCGCATTCTCATTGGCCATAAGCAACCTCTGAGCAAAATTAAGGTCATTGCTTTCGCTAGCTTGTGATTCTCGGTTTCCGTCAATATTACTTCCTCGTCTTCGCCGCAAGGAGCTTGTCATGCTCCCGTGTCTTGCTCTCACAGTCGCTGTCGCATTGCTCACCAACCTGTTCCTATAGCTACCGTACCCATACGCAGAACCATTAATGCGGCTTGTCCTGGATGCAGTTCTTGATAATCTCGGTCCCGCAGCCAGAGGTACAGGGGGTTGTGAAGCTGCGGACGAACCGCCGTTCAAGACAGTTCTGTCTTGTGCATCATAAACTCGGGAGGCAAAGTAGCCAGAGAGCTTTTGGGAAAGTTTTTTCCGAATAGATCCCGTAAGCGTAGTGGGCTCCCGGTCCTCATCGTCAAAGATTGGGCTTGGTGGAATGGATTCTTCCTCTGGGATTGGTGGGTGCATATCAACCTTCTCAGGCATGAGGCGAATAGCCCCTTCCCTAGGCCCGCCATCGGGGCCCAGGAAACACGCGAGAACGGAACCTGAAAACGAGTACGGTCATGAGGTGTCCACACGCCAAGAAAAAAACAATCGAACCTGTAAAGGTGATCGCCGCCGCCATTGCACACGGTAGAAGATAGGGATAATTTACGAATAAAGGGAAGGAGTCAAACGTTCCGGGCCACTTCAGGGCTGGGCTTTCGACTAACAAGTCCCGTTAGATGGGTATCAGCAGAATGCAGAGTAACTGACAAGTTCCTCCGATTATGGCCCCGGCCACACCACCAAAACCCCAGCAAAATCTGCATAATAGTTGGTATTGTATTTCATAGCAAACCGGCGTCTCGGGAACACGCACCCCAGAATAGCGTAAGCTCTACCTTCATTGCTTGCATCGGTTACGAAAGAGATAGACCCTCGAGCAACGCCGACGGCTCCGGCGAAGATACCTTGCAATAACCTTACGCATATGGCTTGCTGCAAACTAGTGCAAGTCCCGAAGATAGCACAAGTAATGGCACTACCGAGGAGTGATATCACTAGAACCGCTCTTTTCCCGTGCTTATCAGCCACGGTAGCCTGGTGGATAGAGGAGCACAAGGACTGTGAACAAGAAGGTGAGTGCGCCACTGGTGAATTGGACGTACCCAAAGCAGTGACGTGAGGAACTGAGTCAGGAAAAAAGTTGATACTACAAGCGTTTAGTGAGTTATTCTGCGAGCATCATTAGTAAAGACCGAAGTATACCTAATACGCCCGTCCAAAAAGCGATGTCAGCCTCATCAGTGAGCAGACCGAAGCCTAAAATCCTCCGTTAGATTGACAAAGCCGCACACCGGATCTGACTAGCCTTTAACCATGAATAACAAGAATGGGGTCGACACGTTTGCAGATAAGAATTCTCCCAGCATGGTCTACGGAACGCAATAAGATAATGAATAGGAAAATTGCGAATGACGACGCACGATGGACAGAACAATCATGGAGAGTATTGGCAGTGGCGTCTGATACACTTCCCCAGCAGGCTGCATTACCGTGGGCACCGGTGGCCTCTCCGACGGAGCTGGCGACTCTGCTCCTGCCCTCAATCTCGAAGCGAAACTCGGTCGACGCATGCTGTTGCCAAACGAAATTCGACCAAGAACTCTGCGCAAAGATGACCCGTCGCGCTGTGGTGTATCATTCTCATCATCCAGGGCGGATTCGTCTGCGCCAAACGACCTGTGTGGCTGCAAAATCCGGTTTGCTTGAGGTGTACTCATTGCGCACAGCGCAAAGACAACGACTACGTCAACGGTAACGAACAGATTTGGACAAAATCGGGACCAAAGTTTTTGCCCCAAATGTTGATGTAATTACATCATTCCTGAGAAAATGTCTCAGTATCATTCTGTCCTGTATAGGCATGGAAGCAGCCACCAACGCGGCGGCAACGCATTTTCGAAAACTCCTGAACACTAGCGGATGGTTGGCGCAAGACTCGATACTGCGGAAAGTGCGCTCAAAATTTCCAAAGAGGCCTGCCGCCGGCTACTTGGAAATGAAATGTGGCTGTGTCGACGGTTGCTAACGTTAACGTTCCTGAAAGGGACCCGATATGTTTTCTTCACGTTCAGGTTGTTCTGTTCAAACTTCTCTGTTTCCATTCTGCTGTGCGGTCTCGTCGGTACCGAATCTCGGGCCGCCCCTCATGTGAAGATCAATCTATTATTCATTATCAGTGACTGATGGGTTAGAAACAGAATTCAAAAGCAGGTCTATCATGTTGCTTCATGCCGAGGAAAAATGTGTTTGTCGAAACGATTATGATCATTTCTATCCCCGTCAAGTTTTTAACCTAACTATTATTGGTTACACGTGCTCATGCCCTTTTTTCTTCGCGTAGAATTTCATTATCCAGTGGAAGTTGAGTGGAACCTGAATTTGTCCGAGTTAGAAATTGAATGAGGTGTCCATGGTCTCTGACCATCGAGCCCAACGGCGGTGAACAACCTGCGCTTCAACTATCACACCGGGTAAACCATTCCCTATGCGTATGTGGCTCTCCCGCCAAACCTGTTAGAGTGGAGGAAAAGTCGATGGTATTCGAGTCTATCTCGTACACGTCAGGCACATCTTCATGCAACATCAGTGTCTCGCGTTCGTTTGCAGTGCAAGTCATTTCTTACCTGATCTCTACCGTAACGCTAGCTGGCAAAAGGGCGGCACTTGCCGCACCAAAACGGTGACATCGAAAGGGCGGGTAGCAGACGGATCATCGGGTTACGTCTAAAAAGTGACGCCTTAGGACCGCCTCAGGCGGCCTCGGACGACGTGGAATATTGCTTTCCGGCAAAATACCGAATGTTTTCCCGCTGAGCATACTCCCGCCGTCCCTAAGCGCCGACGTCGAGTGTCTAAAAGTAATTATTCAGTATATCGAAAGCATAATGGAAAGGATCCGGTGAATGCAGCCGAAATATGTTCACTGAGTCAAAGTCCCAGTGTTGACTGACTTCTTCTGCTAGTAGTCGGACCATATCTACAGTACTTGTTTCTCTGCGAATGTCACCCCGACGACACTTTCCCATTACTAGGGTACCGTACCTTCCACGCCTCGCAGAATCGCCAGCGCGAGCGCGAAAACTATCCGAGGAATATTTGTAAGGCCCGTCCCGCGTTGTCGCAAATGACACGATTCGCACGGGAAACTATCTCCATTGCATCATACTGATGGCCCCAAGAAGAGTAGAGTTTCTGCGCAACGGTTGGAAAGGCTTCCGGAGCGGTGATTGTGGTTGGGTTACCGCATGTTCTGTTTTTTCGCGATCTATGGCGACTTGACTGGAGTAAAAATCCAATCACTGTGGCAAGATATGTCATGGTAGCTCTGCATTCTACATCGTGTTCACGGGTGCAAGGCGAGGATCCTTTCAATCCGCCACCCCCGCCTGCCTCCCCGCAAAAAACGGTTGAACCCAATCAGGAAAGTGTTGGCGTGACCAATCATGGGCCTGGGAAGACGGGTTGGTCGGTCACATCTGGTGCGGGATCAATTGCTCGCCCATCTATCATGTTTCCCCGTCGCAGTAGCGATATCTGTTTTTCCATCTGTTTTGCCTTCATTTCTTCGCCAACATTTGGAATTTTTCCATGTTCTACATGACAAAGCAATGCTGCTGTGCCTACGGAGCAATTGGCGCCCATCGCAACGCGGCTACTACTGTTACAGGTACGGGCACCTAACTGCGCGGCGGCTTGGTACATGTTGCAGCTCGAGAGTCAGGGTAGAAGATCTCCCGTCACTCCTGGATCTCTGGACCGCGTCAAACCTAATGCTCTTCATTTGTCTCGTCGATCTACTGGATCTGTGTGAATTTTCACTTCCAGACCTAGTCGACTAATTATTTCGGTAATGATTACTGGCTTCCCCCTTCAGTACTGGAGTCAAAACGCTTCGTGCAGGCAGGACGATATTTTCGGATCGGAAGCTAATTCTCGGGACGGTGCCTTTCTCGTAAAAAGCTGAGGGAGGCAGGAAGGTATGGTTCTAAAATAGAAATCTACCAAAAGTGACCAGTATGGCCCGGATTTGAATCTGTCCGATCACATACCGGCCATATAAAAGGTCAGTGAACACTTGCTTTGTCTCTACCGTCCATTTCTTCTTCCTGCTCTTCGCATTTTTCCCGCTTTCCTCATTTTCTTATCTGTTTTCCTGTCTTGCTTTCTCCGATGTCAGTCGCGTCTTCCATGCAGGCACCCACGCCTATGCCTACAAAATTCATCCTCCCCGACCTCGTCTCGCACTGTACCTTTGACATCAGCGTCAGTCGGTACCGAAAGCAGATCACATCAGAGACCAAGAAATGGCTATTCACCAGCGGCAATCTGATGGGACAGAAACGCGCCAAATACCACGGTTTGAAGTGCGGGTTGCTCACTGCAATGTGTTACCCCGGAGCGGCGTGCCCCCAGATCAGGGTCTGCAACGACTTTCTCACATACCTATTTCATTTGGACAACCTTTCGGACGATATGGACAAAAGCGGGACCCAAACGACAGCGGATGTTGTTCTCAACACCCTCTACCACCCACATTCTTATCATTCTCCCACTCGTGTTTCCAAGATGACGAAAGAGTATGTCACCTTTCCATCCGGTTCTACACGCCGTGGCGTTGACATATGATTTTTAGCTATTGGCGACGTCTCATCCAGACGGCTTCTCCAGGAACGCAACAACGCTTCATCGAGACTTTCGACTTTTTCTTCCAGAGTGTAACGGAGCAGGCTCACGATCGGCACACGGGTGTTATTCCTGATCTCGAATCTTACATTGCCCTTAGGCGAGACACATCTGGTTCGTTTATCTCATGATCAGAACATTACAGCGTCCTAATATTGCTCGCAGGGTGCAAGACATCTTTTGTTCTGATCGAGTACGCCTACAACCTCAATATCCCGGACGAAGTAATGGACCACGATCTAATCCGTGGTCTCGGCGAGGCAGCCAATGATCTAGTAACATGGTCTAACGTATGTTTTTCATCCCCGAGCCTGAATCCGAACACGCGTAACTGATAGATGGACATGCCTCTTTAGGATATTTTCTCATACAATGTTGAGCAATCCAAGGGCGATACCCACAACATGATTCCCGTTGTTATGAATGAGCAGGGGCTAGACCTCCAATCTGCGGTAGATTTTGTGGGAGAGTTGTGCAAGCAAGCTATCGACCGGTTTAACTACGATAGAACGCAACTTCCCTCTTGGGGCGAGCAGATCGATCGTGAAGTTGCCATATATGTGCAAGGATTAGCTGACTGGATTGTCGGCTCTCTCCACTGGTCTTTCGAGTCCGAGCGATACTTTGGAAAAAATGGCCGCCAAGTTAAGGCGAGCCGAGTGGTTACACTCTTACCTCGTCGATCGTCGTATGTTTGATTTTTTGTTCGAGTTCTCCAGCGGTCTAATGCCCATCTCACAGATGATCATCCCCCTTTCGTGCAACCTTCACTTATCTTATAATTTGTTCTCGCCAACTTCCGAGTTGTATTGCTAACCGATCCATCTCCGACGCGCGAGACACGCTTCACGATATCTTATTATTCACCACATCTACTATGCTCACGCTCATTGGCGTTTTCCGTTATCCAATATGCTGTACTTGTACATTTCATCATCTTCTCTGCTTCTCCTTGTACGCACGGACTACACGTTCCTTTCATCGGCTTATTTTTCTCTATTATCTTTTACAATATGCACATTAAAGTGCATCGCTATCGTATTTGCTATCTATTCAATTATCCACCCTTATGTTATTTCTCATGCGTAATTGACTTGCGCATTGCTTTGTACATAGCACATATGTAGTTACTACATACAAATGGAATACAAAAACTCGGTTATCTTTGGTACAATTATAGTACCATTATGCTTAGCTTGGTTCGTACGTCGGCACCGCACATGATCGTTGAATTTATACAATAAGATGGTGAAGCGATGCCTTGATACCGTCGTGTTACAGTGGCAGGGTGAGTGAATTGCCAAGCAGTGCAACTAAATAGGTATCATAACCGCTGTCGTATCATAGATGGGATCAGCACGCAACTGAGACAAGGAAAATCTCAGGATTGCCGGCTCCCGACATATTGTAGGCAGTAAGCCGTTGTTGTGATTTCTGTTGATGAGCGTGGAGCGACTTGTAGAAAGTGATAGCCCAGGAAAGGAGTTTCGCCGTTATTTGCCACACTTGATACCGTCAAGCCGGATCCCATCAGAAACTGGGAGTTGACGGATGGGAAGGTCAAACTCGTCACAGAAATGTCCTGAAGAGCCGGGGAGGGGCGTCTAATAATCTCTAGGAATCCGCATCCCCATGAACTGAAGGGGTGCGAATAGCTTCGTCTTTAATGAATGCGAAAAGCGGCCTGCTAGATCCACAGTAAAGGTATCATTTGCCTTCCATGACTGGTGACTCAACGGCTGTGGATGAATCGTGACGGCGATAGCCACGGGGATAGAATGCCATCTTTGGAGTACAAACAATAGCTGTTTGGGAACGAAAGTTCGCTTTCACTGGAGAAGGAGCCTCAACTTCTGAGAACAGAAAGCGATATACAACAAAGGAATCCAGATACGGCCGTGCTTTCGTCGCTTAATTGAATTGCTTGTGATTCGAGTTAGCGCCTCGGACTTCCTGTTTCCAGGACCAATTAGAGACGTTGTACGACTTCGAGTCTGACTGGTCCAATAATTCAGCCAGTACTCCCGAATCGAGACGACTTAACGGCCGGCAGTTTATCCCAGATACGAGTACGACGGTTGTACAAAGTATATTGCAGATGTCGGAACCAAATCCACAGCGGCAAGACGCGTGATGGCCGGCTACCGGGCTCTCTCGTTCACCAAACCCTTCAAAAGGCCATGTGCTCATATGTATAGGCTGCTGAAGCCAATCCAATATATTTTCGATAACTAATCAATGACCCTCGCCGCCCGCTATTAAAGTTATGAACGGCGACAATATGAGGGATCGACACAAGGGGCCGCGAAGATGTTGAGTGTCCTCGTTGCAGGTACCAAGCAGGAACTTCAGGGAACCTCATGGCGGAAGAATTATTTGGCCTCATCCCGCGCACCAGCCCCGTCCAGATGTGGATTATTCGGGGTCCATTTCCACAGAGAAACTCGCGTGGTATACATCCGCGAGGCTGTCATGCTCCCTGTATCACGGTACCGAGGAAGAATGAAAGGGGCATCTTGTATTCTGCAGACTTGCGCAGTAACGGGATCTGGTGGGATAACGACCACAATATTGCAGCTCGGTGGTTATAATATACGCAGTTTAGGTGCTTAACATTGTGTACCCGTGTGCCCGAGTGCCTTGCGTCCATGTCGGATTTTATCCTTTTCCAACCTGTACCGTGGTAAAAAGCATGTAAAGAAAGAGACCGGTTAATAAGTGCAGATTCTGTCCTGAGAGCTCCACCTTCGTTTTTCAGTTGTCCGTGTTGTAACTTGCGCCGAATACTATTTTCGACTACAAATGTCGCACACCGCCGCCACCCTCGCAACATGGCCGTTTGGGCCGCTCAATTTGCTGAGCGGCAGCCCAGGCCTGCGATTCTTCGCGCAGCGGCATACGACGGCCACTGTGTTTCATCACATAGACATTCTTTCACGGCATGGGGTCAAATTTGAAGAGAAGAAAAGCCCGTTGGTGCAGAATCTAAGGCGGAGACGGACAGAGGTACCGCGGATCACTCAGCGAGAAGCAAAGGGGGCGGCTCCGTGTGACATGGTTGACAAACAATCATCTGTATTGCGCACAACGAACGTAGTAAGCACTTTTTACGATGAACCTCTAAATGGCCGTGGACAAACTGGCCGTGCTGAAATATGACGCCTGTGACTAGGAACCGTAAGAATGGTATACGGAACTGAGAAGGAAGCGTCCGCGACGTGGGCACTTTTCAACGCCTCGGCGACAGTACAACCTGGATGGCTTGTAGAAAAGCTTGAGCTTAGCGCGGTCTAGTCCTCCAATGACCTATTCACATGTCCCCATATGTTCTCTGAGCCTCCGCGATTCACATATTTCAGAGCAAATAAGGCACTTGAGGTAATTCATTGCTTCTTCCCTGTAGAATTCCTGAAGTCGAAGTTCGACAGGCCTTCAAGTCTTTCGGCTTCATACTTGTCATCATCACCCTCGACCAGGCGAAAATCTTGTGCCGCCTTCACATGACGTGTACGAGTTTTGGGGACAAATGAACAAGATAACAGGTATGAAATGAGAACGTGGAGGGGTCACGCACCATTTGCTGCTATCGCATAATTGGTCTTATTGTTGCATTGTGGATACTAAAGCTAAGGCATTCCAATAAAGGATGTAGGAGATTCATTTGTGTGTAAGTGGCGACCGAGGGGTCAAATCCACAAACAGCCACCATAGACCGCGCAGCATCACATGCCTTGGGGTCAAAATGAATCCAGGTCGTTGTGTTAGCCCATGGGAGATCTTGTTCCCCGCAAGGACACTGGGACCTGCGATTTGATATCTCATTACATTCGTGAACGGAGACCTTTGGATACATTACTGTTGTCTGCATGCCTGACACTGGAGAGTACTCATGGCTAGATAAAGTTCAGAGTCTCCAACCCTTCCTTGCGTTGCCTGTCGGAGTATACCCAAAAAACTAGCATGTGATTGTGATTTCCATCAGGAGTGGAGCGATCGCGGGAGCAAAACTATTCCTCGTCAGCCGTACGTCGAGAGGCATGGAAATAATCCTCTTGAAGTCATCTATAGACACGAGGGTTACCCAATCAGGAACCAAAGTTGTTGATTGCGAGATATGGTGTCTTTTCAGGGCGTCTGTCAAGTCGGACCGCATTAAAGTATTCAGATACTAGACGCTCATCTCTGTGCCGTTCAAGGGCAACAAGAACAGGCTTCATGGTTGACCACTCTTTTTTAAGATTGGGCGCCAGTGTAATTGCTTCCAACTAAAACTTCAGCAACAGACCTTTATCGGTAAGTGACTCTGGCCTATTTACTAGTGTGTGCCTCTCTATTAAGTTGGTGCGCATCAAACCAAGGTCGTTCTGCCGGCTGAATTAAATCAGCCTTAAGTAGACTCTGATGAAAGACCTCAATGAAAGAAAGAAGATTGAGTACGAACTCACTCAACGATGCGTTCCTCAATTATTCGCCTTCTCTGGGAAGCTTTATGCCCTTCTTCATGATCGAAAAACCAGCCGCGGGCCATGCTAACAAGCTATGCATTCAATAAGTCATTAAGCACAGTTTCTGAAAATCCCTTCTGCTCTTCTCGATCAGTCAGAGAAAGCGTAGGATCGAAGGCGACAATCTTTTTTGTGTCCGGCTTGGGAAGTGGTAAATTACAACGGGAAGAACCTACGACAGAACTAGAAAATATATATCACAAAGGAAGGAATGAGCACAGTCACCGTTGGTCAGTCATATCGAGATGCAAGTTGGTACTTCAAGTCGAGACCGGATCTGATACTTATGTCATGGGAGTTGATGATTGGAACCCTGACCGTGGTTGAGGAACACTGAACACGCGCAATAGAATAGGGAATGAACCTATTGAGGTAAGAACATAAAATACAGGGTGAAGAAGAAAACCGATCGCAATCAGTTTCCGCGGAAGTATCTAAGACTACAGATAAATAATGTTACATAGTGCATAATCCGCCCGGATTACAATGATCTTCGGTAAGTAGGGAAAGCTTTAGAATTATATTTTATACTGGTACCTGTGTTGAGCGCGATACGGTAAGTATGATTCCATGGTAGATTAGTGCTTTAGTACTCACTAGTAGGGTACTGCGAGCCATAATCTTGATCTTTCTGGCCCTATAGACAATTGACGCTCTGAATTTTATTAGCCTTGGAATTGCACAGAACAGGCCTTTCACAATGAATATCTGACCAAATCCCCGGATTTTTCCCCAATGGCACGCTATTAGTGAAGGAGGGACTCAACGACGGTCCGAGAGCAGTCCGGTATAAGAAACCGGTCATGATTTGTTTATGTAACATATTCGGCACTTTCCACTTTCCCACGATTCACCGTTCATTAATTGCATTAACTATTCTTCGTTAGGAGTCGTCATTTCTCAGAATTCCTGCTCATTAACGTGTTTTATTCGTCGCAGTAACTTTGCAATATAATTTGTACCTTTAAATCCTATTATAACTGGAAAGGTCTCACTTGTTATAGATGATGACGATAGAGATCGCCGCCCAACCCCAGGACTGCATCTAGTATGACATATATTGAACACTTACGAAGGTTTCTGGTCTGCTTCGCTTTGGTCGCCAACATTGCATAGGCATCTAGCTTCCTTTTATGCTTTCTTCAGGTGAGCTTTCACAGGTTCTGGGGTTCACTGAAGCTTGTCTATCTCTGCCCCAAGACACGGACCACACATCGCTTTTTAGTATGACAAATTTCAATTATCGGAGCTTAGTGGTAGGTAATATCTGTATTGCTTGCGCGGATACTACGTCAGCCCGTTGACCTTCGTTTTTGTACTCTCTTGCTCTATAAGAGAGCCAACAGCAACATCATACATCGTCTTTTCATTTCCATCATGTCCTCTAGTTCAAAGCTAATTTTTGTGAGTATTCCCCATCTGACTGACCCCTTCTCCCGAGTTGTCGTATATCTTACATGTTAAACAGGTCACCGGGGGTACCGGTTTCATCGGATTCCACATCTTGACCCAGTTGCTGGATAAGGGCTACTTCGTTAAGGCGTGCGTATTGTTTATCTAAGGTTTCATTCTTCTAGGAACTATCGTTACTTATTAGTGCGGCTCGAGGACCGAAAGTCAACATCCTGAAGAAAGCTCTTTCCGTTAACTACGGTGAGAAATTCGAAGTTATTGAGGTTCCCGATGTCTCTTCGGGTGATTTAAGTCAACATTTAAAAGGTAAGCTCCTTCATGTGTCATTTTATATTATCCGTTCTCAGATTCCCGTAGGAGTAGACGCTATCATTCATTCTGCAGCGCCTCTACCAGGTCGGGTTGACCCAGAGACAGCTCTTCGAGTGAGTGGTCCGTACTTTGACGCATCGAGTCTGCTGACACACCCGACGTTACAGATTAGTATTGATGGCTCTCTTCACATTATACGCGAGGCCGTAAAGGCTAATGTTCCTAGAGTCGTTACTACAAGTTCCGTCGTCTCATATCCTACTCCGGTAGGGCCATTTGGTGTAGATGGTCGGTCTTTTTACATTCTTGGACTATTCATTCTTAAAAAAAAGGGCAGATTGGAATGCCATCACCAAGGAGGAAGCTATAGCTTCTGGAGTGCCGTTCCATGTATATGTAGCCGAAAAGAAATACTCCGACATGGCCGTTGTTGAGTTTGCGGAGAGTCATCCCGAAATCGATCTTACGCTCAGTGCGTTCGGCTGCCAGCATCATATACAGTGTAATTGGAACTCATGGATTATCACGTAGTCGGACCTCCGTTCAATTTTGGACCCATTGCTCCAGGTTTCGAGCTCCTTATATCTGAGCCGAATCTCAGCGCACTATCTACCAATGAATATCTTTACGCACTTCTCCGACCTTCTCCGACCACTTTTCCTTCTCTACCGGGTGCTATCGATGTCCGTGATGTAGCTAGGGCGCATGTCCTTGCTCTGGAATCCCGGCCATCCTCCGAGGTAGGACGGAAGAGATTGGCTATATGCTCCCCCTACCAGTCTTCGTACAAGGATGCGCTCGCTATTATCGCGAAGGAGCGCCCCGAACTCAAGGATCGTCTCGCAGATGGGAGTCATGCACCGGAATGGCCTTCGTACACCCTCCCGTTAAACTGGGAAAGGCTAGAACATGTGCTTGGATTGAAGGCGGATTCGTTCATTGCATGGGAAAAGACGGTCTTGGATGCTGTGGATAGTCTACTTCTCATTGAAGGGCAGTGGAAGGAGAAAGGATTCAAGGTTCCGGTATGAGGTGATTTACTGTATTTATCTTTCATAAAAATCTATTCTTCCCTTCCTACCACTTAACGACATACTTTCTCGTCATGAGTGAAGACCTTGACGGCTCGTCATAACAAACTTGGACCTTTTCCGGACCGTCACTATGTATGCGTTGATGCACTTGAATCTGATTTATCAAACACCAGTGGGACGAAGTTGCAAAGGGGCCAGTCGGATCTCGGACCGGATACCATGAGCATGGCAGTGCCCCTCACAACTGTCAGCGTTTTAACTTGGTCTACGTCTACCTAGTCGCTGCTGAAGCGCTCAAGCTTCTCGGTCCTTACTGTTATTACTCAACGGTGTGCTCATTATTGACAGCGTATACCGACAGCGGAGCGAGGCTTCTTGGTGAATGCTTATCTATCTCATTTATTTTCTGGTAAGGATCTCACGCGTTTGCGTTCATTCTACTGCTGACTTTCTCGCAGACATGTCTATCAATGAACCAGAGCAAGTTGCTTCTTACCATTTTAAATGGTTGTAGCTGACCAGGAGTAACCTTGAAGACCTTGGTGTTTCACAGGTGTGTCGACTGACGGTCGCGCTGGATTCGGCTGTATTAATGTATACTGGGATTTCTAGTTCTTCGAAGTAGCGGCCTGCACCTTTTACGACCAGAGAAATCATGGCGTCCCATAATAACTATACAAGTCGAGTCCAAGGGTGGTTCAGTAGATTGCGACGCGACGCCGTGCCATGAAACGACCTTGGGAAGCGATGGCCAAAATCCTAACCAGAAGGAAGTTTTCTACATGTAAGGGTGCATATGTGCTATCGCAGTCTGATTTATAACACCCTGTAGTCATGACGTTTCTCTACAGTCCAAAATCTCCATCAAGGTCTGGCACCGCTCTCAATCGAAGAGGAAGGGACGGAAGAAAATTCTCGTCGCAAACGCATGCTATATGTTAGGTGATCTGATAAAGGGACAGAATGAGGCTGGACAATGTAAGTATGCTTGTTTGTGCTCCTTGCTACCGACTTCACGAAATTAGGCCTGGACGTTCGTTTAAACACTCTATCCTCCAACACCAAACGCCTCAAAGGCGCTCGCTTAGGGGTGTGGCCTAAGCTGTCTCTCCGTGTACGACTACCATCAACGGCCAAGCTACACTACGAAGAACAACCTTCTGATGACGACAGCTTATGTGAGGAAAAAAGGTTTACTTCACTTATTTCGATACTGAACACCTCGCAGCATGTTGCTCGGATAGCATACCTTCTACACCTAGAAGCGAAGGTCATGACGACGCCATCATTCTACCGCCTCCCACTGAGCAGGAACTCAAAAGACGTTTGCAGCCTTATATGATAGACTCGGATGACGAGATGGCGCCCCTTCTCACAGATGAAGCGTACCTCAACAGTGCCCCACCTATCCTACCCCAGTATTCAGAAACCGAAAAGCCTCCGGACCTCCCTGCCATGGGCGTCATGCAGCGTATTGTCGCGTCTTTCACGATGTATGCTGAGCTGAGAGATGAATCCCACTACGAGCGGGCATTCTCGCGACAGCAAATGGAGTGGTCATACGTCGGTGGCCTCCTCACCGCATTGGCTGCGTACGTCTCCTTTCCTAGACCCTTCGTGGCAGCCATACTGACATAGCTGCCTACAGCGTCGACACCGCTGTTTTCTCTATCTCTCCCGGTTCTCTCTTCATCATCAACCCCATCGCCCAGTCCTTTATCGCCATGTCTTCCACAGCCTGTGGCCTCGGGATCTTTTGTGATGCTTGGTTTATCTTCCGCTATAACTTTGTCCCACTTGAAACCGCTCGCACGCGTTCCAGGGACATGTTTGACTCATATTTCTTCTTCTCATTGTCGGCGAGGGTGCCAATCATATGTATGCTGTTGTCGGGGCTGACGTTGATGGGATTTTTGGGTGTGGTCGCATGGACGGTGTGGCCGGCAGGGTTGCTGATCATGTCCTTTGTAGTGGGAATGTTGATGTCATTGCAGTTCTTAGTGTTCGGCGCCTGGTGGTTTGTTGGGAAGGTGATGTGTGCGGGGAGGAAGGTTCGGAAGGTAATCAAGTGGGTTGTTGGAAGGGATAGTGGAGAAGAAACGTCAAATTCTGCGTAGTGCCATTTCGAGCTGTGTTTTTACCTTGCACTATGGGTGTAAGTACAATCTGTATTTATATTTTAAATAAATGATTTCTAACATTGAAATAGCCGACAGTTCCGATGCCGATAATTATACGTCGCATGTTCGAAGCCACGGACGTATTTGCTCTGAGCCCTGTCGTCATTTCTACGCAAAAGTATGGCCAACCTGGACCTTACAAAGCCATTTCTATAGACCTAATCCGTTACAAAATACCCGCACCAGCTTGCGTAAAGCTAGGACCCGATAAACGGCGTTCACTTTGATCTTTCTTTCCTCATATCAACGGGCTCAAGAAATTATGTCCTCGAGCTCGAAGCTGATCTTCGTTAGGACTCCGATCGATGTCATCTCGGCCCTTCTCCTGTTAATCATTACAATAGGTTACCGGAGGCACAGGCTTCATCGGTTTCTACGTTTCGACCCACCTACTAGACAATGTGTACTCTGTTCGAGCGTAAGTCATGATCGTTGAGCCCTTCAACATTATAGCTAATAGCTGTTCTATATTAGTGCTGCCCGACGTCGCAAGGTCGAGCATATCGTCGCCCGGTGTGTAGAGTTTAAACAGGGAACGCCCATTGGAGTTGGCACACTCAACAACCCCCTTTCCCCTGCAAAGCGGGAGAGTACAGAGTGAGGAGCAAGGCTGGTGAGCATCGGGGTTGGATGTCAGACGGCATCATCAGAGAAGAGTCGACATGGAGGTAGTCGGGTGTGATGAACCCACGAACCGAGATGGGGGAGCGTCAGCTGGGTGAAGCAGGGAAAAGAATGTCAAGTGGGGTGAATGCAGATGCCAAAGAAGGATTGCATCTTTCTATGGAATGCATGACACCGTACACCTCGACACGAGTGATTGCATATCCCGATGGCCAAAGCCGATGTTCTCTTTGGATAGCGTAGCGCGGAGACTGGTGAGGATTTTTTCCGAATCAGGCGCTGGATATGGATTGTCGCAAAAAGGAATCGTACCCAACAAACCGGACGTCCTCCTATCCAATTCCCGTATTCGCAGCCCAGGTGCGCGGCTGGAGTGCCATGAGTCACCACTCTGACGTCTGCGTTGTCTTTTCTTCTCAAAATCGTCTCTGATATCGACATGTCCTCGTGCGAAGGATTCGTGTCGCACACTTGGAGTCTTTCTTTGAAAGGTTCATTAGGCGTCGGGGTATGAAGTATTACAAACGCACAATAAGTATACGTCCAAACCTCAGAATGGACCTCTGCAAAGCGAGTAAGCAAAACATGAACCGCTCGAACGATGAGAGAAAACTGATCAGCTGTGTTTGTTTTTCGTCAGACAGGCAGGCATGTTGGACGATATCGATGACGCATCATTCAATGTAGGGGGACAGTAAAAATGAATTTACTCACCGGCATCATTGGTAGTGGCGGTGCAGGACTGAAATTGAATACGATTCAGCTTTCAACGAGGGAGAGCGAGAGTCTGACGGATTATTCTCGCTGCCGACAAGTATCGACTGGCTCGGGAATGATGTGTATTCATGTCGCGGGACCGGGTGGGTTTACTGAGGCTTGAAAATGGTAGCAGGTGAGCAAAACATGAACAATCGAACGATGACGAAAGGTTGGTCAGTCGTATTTTATCTCTCTTTCCGCGAAAGACTTGTATTCAGATCTGGTATTTTCATTTTGGTGAGTATCTTTACTCTGTTCTCTCCTAAATGCTTTATCGGCATCGTCCAACGCGCCTGTGTGACGCCCATCCTCCGAGTCGAACCCGAGTGCTTGACCCCCTTCATATCCATGGCTTTTACACACGTGAACGACCTCACGTCTACTCAGGTGTCCATGATACCGTGAGTCGTGAATAGCCTCCACTCTGACACCTACGATCCCTTCCGTAATGAAAGTCCTGGCCCCCACGTCCTGTATGTGATGGGTGAAGGATAATTGCAACAGAGCTTCCAAATAAATATCCATTAAACGCTGGATAGAAAACGTTGACAAGTGCGCACCGTAATTATACGTCCCCTCATCACTAAAGTTCCTCCCTGCCTGTGATGGAGTTCAAAGCGGGTAAGCCAAAAAAATAAAAACGGGAACGATGAGCAAAAAATAAGTCAGTCGTGTATTTTTTTTCATCACACGGATACGTTGGGCGATGTCGATAGAGCATCATTTCGTAGGGGAGAGAGTGAGGGTACGCACCAGGGTGAAGACGTCGGTGGTGATGGTGGTGAAAAACATCTAGAACTGAATACTGAGCTTTTGAGGGAGACCGAGCCTGATGGATGATTCTCGCTACCGACCATCCCAAGTACTAACTGACTCAGGAGTAATATAATGTATCTTCTCTGTGATTCACAACCTACTTCTGTCGCGGGACCGAGTAGGCCTACCGAATGTTTGGTCTCCAGGGCCGTGTTGCTCGGGGTGACGAGTCATTGAACAACTCGAAGGAAGGGGATCAACCATATGCTTGTTTCCCCGTCGACCGAGAAAATACCACATGCTCGACGCCTACTACTCTCCTGCCCCACACCCTCTTCTATGACTGGTTCCACGCCAGCACACGCACAGTCCCGCCTCGCCTTTTAATTTCTTCATACGAGACATCTCAGTGGGTAGCGTACTCCTTCCCTTCACATCTACATTCAAGCCGGTCACCTAGCCGGGCATCCTAGGGCCTACTAGCCCTTCCGTTGCTCCCCCGCAGTCTTCCTCTCTGGACCATACGTCACGTCTAATAGTGGAGCTACATTACTGCCGAATCAAGCAGCGGCATGAACGGGGTGAGCTATACACGCTTGCATCCTGGGCTTTGCGTGTATAGTAGGGTCTATCCGACGTCCACGGCAGAACACTGAGAATAGCTCTTTGTTGGGGGTCTGAATACTGGGACGAGAATAACCCCGTCGCATAGCCTCGTCAAACCGTGTTGGAGCGGGGTCGTAGGGGGCCCGCGAAAAAGTGGAATTTTTGTACAGTAGGCCAAACTCGTGGATCCATGGCCCGGCTCGACGCGCACACATGCATTTAAAGAGGTTCGGACGAAGGTACCGATAGAGGCGAGAACTAAAACCCTTAGCTTCTTCTTGAGTAGGTGAAGGATGGGCATTAGGTATTATTGACCATGTTATTCTAGAAGCAGGGAAGGAAGGTTCGTGGGGAAACGTGGCCGTTACAGGTTTATACGAATCAATCCCCGGCGTCTCATTGGGTTAGAATCGTTTCAGCGGCAAAAATCTGACTTCGAAATCCGAGGACTTGCTAGCATAAGACTTGATACCCTGAAAGTTCAATTCATTGCAAAGTAAACAGCATACAAGCGAGGCGGCGTCCTTCATTCGGCTGCATAACAAAACAGCGAATGGCATCTACCTTTTACATTAAACCCATACTAGTTGCCGGTGGACTAACTGCATAAGACATATTTTTCTGCTCTTTTTTTTCATCTCTCGCATGGATTCAAATATCGGTCTGGGAGGTACTTGGCCTAAAGCAGGGTTGTCAATCCGTGGTGCAAGATCCAAGATCTGATACGATCGAACCAAACATGCGTAACCGCGATATACTACAGAACCGATTGATCCATACTGCTTGCTTCCACCTAGGAAATATGCATCGTCCGACTAAATGGTGAGTGCACAAGATGTGTCCTCTCCATGCAATTTTATTCAAAGCCAACCACTCAAAGGCTTTCGTTGCTTTCACCCTTCATCTATTTCATACAGTGTTCACTCCCCAACGAAGAAGAAAAGTAGACATGTATATCAGTATGGCACCCTCTGTCAGAATGAAATCTTACTCCGTGGACAAAAGCAAGTAGTAGCTTAGAATCGCTCCAATTATCCAGCCAAGTTAAATCCAGTGACAGGAATAGTACTGACTGGCATGCACCCGGAGGATTGCGACTTCAACCCCAGTCGAAAGTCGATGGGCTTGGTTGATGCTGGTTGACAAATCAACCAGAAACAGTAGTTATCTAAGAATGGGGCATCCCATGGCATTTCAGTTGCGACCAATGGATGGCCCTCGATACCCACAGACTACTATCAGTGTATATCATTGTTTGTCAATGGCAATCAATAAAAATTATATTCATCTGCTTACTTGCTATCTACAATGGCTAGCTAAATACCTATCACATATCAAGCACCTGTCCCATCATATACCCATAATTGCCACTGGCCTTGTGCATACATACATATAAGGCTGTGTGTCTCATGTTCTGAATTGGCAGGAATCTATATGAGTGTCAAACAATATTGTAACAAGTGTGCTGCAGACTTCTGATTCCAGCTCAACTTCCATCATCCAACTCCACATTTGATTGGACTCTGTCAGACTTCATTTCCTGGTTTCTATTTTATATTCCATTCTATATTTCACCTACTAATTTCATCTCTCTAATTTATCACATCTATACTCCATCACAGTAGTAAATAGGTGTATATTAGAGTCCTCAGAATCCTGAATCCTCTAGCTACAATATTCCAGACATAGGCTCTATCTCTAAAACATGATTCCTTGGACTCTGCACTAGTATATAAGCTGTAGAATTATTTGTACATACCTCAGTTCAAATATCAACTTGGATTAGCCAACTCTCTCTCTTCTGTTTGACCTTCAAGTCAAACTATCATCTCCAGTCCATGGACCTCTGACTCTGTAGGACTAACTCCTTCTATCACTTCATGGATCTCTGCCTGTATCTATTTTAAGGCTTTGACCCAGAGGTGACATTGCTAATAGCTTCATCAAGGCCCACACACTCTATTGCTCCCATTGTATATATTCAGTCTCTTCTCTATTGGCACATTCCTAACAGTACAGTTGACTATCTCAAAGTGCATATAGTCAGAAGACACCAAAACTATATGCATTTATAGATTTATGCAGAACCAAAGTGTTGCAAGTACAGAAGAGAGTAGCATACAGAGGATTGATTAATTAGCCTCTCAAGAGAGAGACATTATACTTATATACATTTTATACTACTTTAAGAATTTTCTATGAATTACTATATAAGTCCTAATCACAGTCTAAATCAGCTGCTGCTGATTGATGTAATGTCTTTGAGTACATTCTCATACTTGCTTGGGATTGCTATTCCAACACTTCCCCTCAATTCTGAGTTTCTAGAATACCTGCAGATAGATACTCATATAATGGTCTTGATAGACCTTTAGTGAATAT